AATTCGATGATCTTGGGCTCGTTGGATTCGTCTCGTCGAGCCGTTCGATTCGAGTATAAGCTCGTTAAAATCAGAGACCGTTTGGTAACTCAAATTGCTTTTTGAACCTTTCAACAGCGCTTTTAACCCTTGATTCGGACTCATTTGGGCTTGGATTGGGTTGATCTTGGTGTCGTTGGGTTCGTATTTCCGAGACGCTCAGTTTGACTGTAAGCTCGCTGAAATCAGAGTTCATATGCTCCCGAAATTAATTTTTGAAGTTTCCAACTAGCTTTTGTCTCGAGATTCGTGCCCGATCAAGATGATTTTGTGATGCCGTATCAACTCTATTTCATTATTATTATTTTTTAATATTAATAATGATTTAAGTCAGCTCACGAGCCGAGTCTCATCAAGCTTGAATTCGAGCTCGTTTAATAAATAGGCTCGAGTTTGAACTCGAGCTTGTGGCTCGATAAGCTCGGCTCGCGAGCTAGCCAGGCTTACTTACACTCCTAACCCCGGCTAGCAGAAAAAAAGAAGAAGTTATATCGGTATATACATAACCATGCAGTGTACATGCTATTACAAATAATCAACAGGTGTTATGTAATTCAACATGACAATTTCCATTTATATAGTCAACATGCATGATTTATAATAGGAGTATCTATTAAAGGTTACTTGTACTAGGTCATATATTAGTGTCATAAATAACCCGTATACTATTACATGTGTTTGTAATGAAAGCTAGGCTATAAATAGCTGGCTCGGTACCCTGTTAAGTAATAATCATATTTCCTTTTGTTAAGCCATGTCTCTGTCTTTATGGTATCAGAGCTCGGCTCAAGAAGTTCTTTCTTGATTCGCACAGCTCGTTCTCCATCGATCGTTATCCTGCCATTTTTTCGCGTTCTTCGCTAGATCTAAAGAAGATCGGCGTTAACATGGAGGATTCAGGCACATCGCTATCATCAACCCCAAATGATACCATCGCCAAGGAGTACAATATACCGGCTGCTCTCAAATTTGTGATCTCGAACATCAAGATCATAGTATCGACTCAGTTAACCTCTGAGAACTACGCAGTTTGGCGCTCACAAATCCTCAAACTCCTCACGGCCAACGGTTTTTCAGAGTTCTTGGAGCAGTCGACATCTCCACCGACCAGGTTCGTTGATCTACCTGATGGGCGTCAAGAGATCAACCCGAAATATAGAGAATGGGTTCTTGTGGATCAGAATCTAGCAGCAGCGATCTGTTCAACGATCTCACCAACCATTTTACCGTATGTCATTAATCTCGATTCAACTTCTATGATCTAGGCGACTATCGAACGACGTCTACAGTCGTCGAATAGATCAAGAGTAATACAGCTACGCAATGAGCTACACAACATCAGAATGAACAATCAATCTATGGTTCAATACCTTACTCAAATCAAGACTATAGCAGATAATCTCTCAGCGGCAGGGATGAATCTTGATCAAGAAGATATCACCCTATACACGTTACCAATTTCTATATATACTTACTTAGTTAATAAATTTGGCCTTGGGTCACCAATTTCTTGCATTCGAAGTTCCTTTAAACTCTTTGGAACATTACTGTTCATAAGGTTTGACAGATCTGATAAAAAAGCCAGCTCCGAATCCTATGTATGGTTATATAAATGTATATTTGAGTTCATATATCATGTATGTGGTTATAAAGTTTATATATTTATATTCTATAATTTATATAAAATTTTTAAATAGATATAATGTTTATGAACAACTTGTGTTCGATTTAATGAGGCCAACATAAAACGAAGGTTTCGTTTGGTACAACTTTCTTACTATTTTCTAAAGCAATTTTTTAGTATAAAATTTTTTAAACTAGAAAGTTGTTTTAGAAAATAGTAAGAGAATTGGTCCAAATGAAGCTTTAAGTATTGTCTTGTTTGTTTTATGGGCTTATTTGAATTACATATGAGCTAGCTCAAATTCAGTTCATTTATGCATCCAAAAAGAGGAAAGATTAATGTTAAGAAAGGTAGGAAAAAAAGTACCTAAACTAATTATCTTTCAAATAAGTAATCAACATTAGTGTTTTTCCTGTCATCTACAAATTTATGCTTCAAATTAGGATATGTATTCTGAAGATTATCCAACTTCATTCTAATCTACAGCTTGTCATCAACATTTAGATAATGCATAATTTTTTTAGGGGGATTCACATACATACCACTCTAAATCATTTTATTCACATATATAACACTTCAAATTTTAATATTATATGCATATCACTCTACATTATTTCAAAAATATGTCACTCATATTTCATTCCTACAACTCATATATCTCATTTCTATTACCCAAATTTGATATGAAAGTGAGCTATGGGTGATATATAATATCAATCATAGCCAATCCATTCTCAATATTTCATCAAATTCAGCTAGTAGAAAAATAATAAAAGTTGCAGGCATAATAGCCATATGGTGGATTATAATGTCACAATCATGAATACACTGAGTGACTATTATAGAAGCTCCATATGGCATATTAATTGATAGGTGAGGTTGCAATTGAGATATTGGTGCATTTGATGTGAACTTGCTTGATATGAACGAATGTGATGCCCCAATTTTTTTTTTTTTAAAAAAAACCTTTGTCAGCTGCTTATGAATAGAAATAATACATGTTACCACATCAGAAGCTTCACGGGCCTCTTGCTGGGTCATGATGAAGACACAAGGAGGGATCGCCTGTTTGGGCTACTCCTGTATTGGAAGTCGAGGCATTTGATACTGCATTGCTTGTGGCTGTTGCTAATATGGCATCAGAGGCTATTGGTATTGAGAAATAAGGCACTGCTAGTAGTACTAAGATGGCAGAACTTCCTGAGACTATTATTGGGGATGAGAAATAATGTTTTCCATTGCCTTTGCCATGATGCTTGTTGGAATGTCCTCCATGTGATTTTTGCCATCCATTTTGATGTGAATTATTGTAGTTTTCTCAAGTAGATGAAGGATTGGATTGATCTTGAGCTTGTGCATGAGATCTTTAGCTTTATGTTTGGTGTTGTAGCAATTAAAGCACTTCCCGATGAACAAGTTGCAAGTCCCTGAATGATATTTGCCGCAGTGTACGCAACAAGGATTACTCTTGGACTTCTGTCCCTGATGGCTCTTATGCTGCTTTTTCTATGTATCTCCAGATGGTTGACCATCGGCTGCCTTTCGCTTTCCAGAAGTTTTTCTTTCACAAGCATTTATCTCTATCTACACGTGAATCACTTGATCAAGTAGCTCGTTGAATGTAGTGCACTTCACTACAGATAAAGATCTTATGATATCTTCTCTCATACCGAAAAGGAAGTGGTAGATTTTCTGATATTCGTGATGCCTAGTAGATGATACAAATATGATAATTCTAGCAAAATGTGTTTTGTACTCTCTAACCGATTTTGTCCCCTACTCGAGCTTCCTCAAATTGTTCATCAAATTTGATCGATATGTCATAGAAAAACATTGTTCTAAAAATGATCTTTCAAATTCTACCCAAAGAATCATTGCATCTGCTCCAAAGTTATTGCGTCGAATGCTCTCTCACATCACTTGAAATGCAGCCATGTCTACCTTTTTGATCGTTTGGACATTTAATACCGCCAAGCCTCTTTTTAATGTCATGAAGCCATTCATCATATTCAACTGATCCAACTATCCCATTGAATATTGGAGGGTGAGTCTTTAGGAACTGATCCATTACTTGATCTATCGCCCCTTTATTGGTTGGAATGACCTACAATATAGAAGTTGGTTTAAATAAATAAATCTACTAATATTATTTATTTTGCTCAATGTCTTCGACTTCGATTGAATTGTCTGAGCTGGGAAAGCATCATGTATTCCTATGGCTTCTTGGGGCACTAATGGGGTTGTTGGTTGAATTGGTTGTGGTACTTGCTGAGTGGCTTGATTAATTCCTTGCATTGCTTAAGTAAGCTGAGCGGTCACCTCTATCATCATCGTGATTAGCACTGTGATATTTGGATTTGGAGCAATAGCACCTCGAAGACCAGGAGAGCGAGGTCCTCTGAGAATAAGTGGAACTTCCTTAGTAGTTCTTGTGGTATCATATCCATGAGCATTAGCAACATTCTTTCTTCTTGACACCATTCTGAATTATTAAACATATCAAAATAAACTACTATAATAGACATATTTTTTAACATAAAGGATAACTTATGATATTATATCGCTATCTATCTAACGAGCCGAGCTCGATAAGGGCCAAAACTCGACTCGACTCGACTCGTTTACACCCCTACACTAGCCCATCTAAAAGTTCAAGGTATAACAAATACAAAATAGAAGGGCTCTAATACCACTTTGTCACACCCTGAGTCCGAAAAGTGGTACACCCCAATAACATAGGACAACGAATGAATCTAAAGACTTATTTTGTATTTATAAAGTGAAAAAAATACAACATGATATATATATATGCATCAGAGTAGATGTTAAAATTTAAATGAAAAAAAAGAAAATTATAATTTTTAAGGGCTGTGTTAATACTCCCCCTTATTTAATATGGTTAATGTCCGAGCTTCCAAGCGTCACCTTAACCCCGGGCATATCTGAAGCGCACGCATTTCGTATTAGGATCGCTGGAAGTAAGGAATTTCTCCAAATTTCTCCTAGGCCTATCTCTCGATCCCTTAGTTGAAGATGGCGGCCGAGCAGCGAAAGCAGACCGAGAAGCCGGAACTCCGTTGGCGATGGAGCCCTGCCCAACTAATGCTTTTGTCTACAACTCAACCCTTTGCGCTTGTAATCCCGGCCTCTTCCTTGCCACCGACGGCTGTAAGTCTCTCACAGCCGGCGGCGGGGGCGGTGGGGAATGGAAAACGAGCTCGGGCGTGGAGGAGCAGCCGACGTTCTTGTCTACCGTGCTCCCGCTGGAGTCGATCCGGCGGCTGACCCGGTCGCAGGAGGCGCTTCTTGGAGCGACCTTTGTGGCGCTTATCGTGTGGCTCGCCTTCTGCTTTGCCGTGCGGTTTGGGAGACTCGGCGACGGCGAGACATTCTGGTTCCGGATCCGTTGGTGGATTAGCCGTCTAGATGTCTACTTCTATACCAGGCATTGGCTGGTTCGATTTTTCCCTTATCCATTTGTTGATTCCTCTTGTTCTATCCAGTTGGATGTTATAAAAATTTTGCTGACGGTGTGGTGTTTTGATATTTTATCAGTTAGGTTGGATAACCCATCCTTTTAGAGTGATTCAAGGTTGAGATGCGTTTAATGGAAAACCTTATCTTAACCCTGGATGGTGAAGTATTGTCATAGTATAATGGTGTGAAAATTGTATATGGATAAATAGGTATTTAGGTTTTGTAAAGAAGAAGTTTCAAGCTTCAACCAAAAATTGAGGGGTTTTGGGGTTCAACCAACTTAGAGATTTCTAGATAATCAGAGAGCGAATAAGGAGATTTCTAGAGGGAGATTGGGCGCTCTATTGCAATCTAGTATTTGGATCCATAATTAGAGATATACATTTATTATTTGGATGAGAACTTATATACCTTTATTATGTGGTTATAGCTTTTCTTCTTGCTCCAAAACTCTCCTTGAATAGGATTGGTTTCCAAAAACTTTCAAGTGTATTTGAAGGGAGCCTTTGGGTGTTTGGTGTGTTAGGGTGTGCCACCTACTTACACCATAGGGTTGAGGGATTCTTTCTTCCCAACTTAAAATTAATTATAGCAAATATCATACAAGGCTTCCCACCTACTTACAGTATTGGTGGTGAGAGCCCTCGTCTTTGACTGCATCATTTTTTTGGCCTATTATTTGGATGCAATTTCCAGCAACCACACTCCATATAACTTCAAAGCTTGAGTGGGGAGTAGGTCTGTCTTGCACCTTTTCTTATTTTGGCTATCCATTAGTAGCTTTGCCATCTTGTGATGAAGCTTTCATCCTTTGCTTATGTCTCTTTCTTAATTTCTACATCTATTATTATCCACAGGTTACGGGTATACTATTTTTGTGATTCAGACCCTTACTCCTCAGAACATATTGGAGTCTACCTTATTCTCTAGGACTGCCCTTTATATTCTTACCTTTAATACATTCCCAAATTAAGTGTGTGATATATTAATTACTTACTTTCTAGTTTCTTTTATGTGTATTGTCAAACTGTCTAGTTTTTGTTTTTTACTTATGCTTACTTCTATATACCTATAACTTAGTTAATTATAAAGAAATGAATTATGAAGAATGGGCATTCCATGTCCTATAGTTTTAGGAGTTGCCCAGTTGACATTTCTTTGCTTGATTTCCTGTGCTAACTTCCAAAATCTTACTTCTTGATACGAGGAGATGAGACGATAATTTTAGCCCTTCGTGTAGAAGTAATCCTAAAACAGAGGAGTGTGGATGATGAGTAAGGCAGATCCCCTAGTTAAAATAGCTAGTCATGATTTGCTTAACCAACCTTCAAAATAGTGCCATTTGGTAGGGTTAGGCACTATCAGTTTGTCAATGCTGAATGTTATGTTACGTTAATATTGAAGGAAAAAGCCCAAAAAATGTTGGCTTTAATGGCTGTTCTAGGGTGATCACATCATAATGAAAAGCCGAATTTACTATCGCCTACTTATTCCTATTTTTGATGTATTTGTTCTTCTGCTTGTGCTTTCATCATTATAGAAAAAGATAATGTTTTGATTCATGATGACCTGAATGCAGTGAAAGAATGCCTAAGATTTCCTGTTTTGGATTTAAGATGTCTGTTTTGGCTTTAAGATTTATGGATAAAGTAACATGTTACGATCAAGCTAGTTTCTACATTTAGTTAACAGGATATTTTGTACTTTGCAAGACATTTTTGCTTTAAAATTTTCATTTTTCTGCTTGTTTATAATCTAGTTTTTTCATTTGATTAGATGGTAACCTTTGTACCCTGAAATACTCATGTTTGATTTTGTTTGGGGATTTAGGAAGATAACAAGGTCGTTGTAAAGAGGAAAACAGAACTGGGAGGGACGTTTTCTGTAGCAAGCTGGATATTATTTGCTGGCTTGTTCTCTGCGTAAGTAATGGACTTTTGCTCTCATTATGTTGACCATGTTGTCATGTGAGTTCTTGGAGCATGAAACTTTGATAGGAGAACCTGGCTTTAAATTCTTACCCCTAGTTAGCCATCTGAAGCTTCCAATTTTCAACTCAATTCATACCAGATTGCTGTATCAGATTATTGCAAAGCGCACATTTGAGGTACACAAAGTCAGACCAACCAACGCTCCAGACTTGCAGCAGTTTGACAATGATATTGAGTTTAATATAACCACGGTCTCTAGCTTGACTTGTTCTCATTTGCGAAGTCTTAAGAAAATAGTCACCACTAGTCCTGGTTCAATTTATTACAAAGTCTCCCTTCTGACACTTTATTCCAATTATACTTGCTATAATACAAGCCGAGGCCCCACAGTTTCAATTAAATGCAACCGCTGTCAGATTTCAAGAGAGGACTTATATATTTCATGGCAGTTTGTTGATCTCCCAAAGAGTCCTGCCAGTGCAGTTGGCTTTCAATTCAATCTAACGGCAAGAGATCATATTGATGATACACATGTCAGCTATGTCAGTGGCACTTTAGCACCGGGAAGCTATAGAGATGGTGAACTAGAAACATTAAGGGGACCAGATATGAATTTATTGAAGATCAATTTATTCCCTACAAAGTTCAATTATAAGCATCGTTTGAAACTCATTCAACCTCTGCTGCATGACTACTTACCAGGCTCATCATTTTCCGATATTGGGAGACTGCAAGCTTCTCTTCAGAACTCCAGGGATGGACTATTGAATATTACCCTGCTTGTTAGATATCTTTCTGATTACATTGTGGAGGTTGACAAAGAACTTTCATTTGGAATTGGTACGAATCATTGCTTACTCCCATTAGCTTTTAGTTTTTGTTGGATTCTAATTCTCACATGAATAACACGGATCTAACCTAAAAATTAATTTTCTTTTCACCATCAGCAACTAATATGAACATTCTTTTTGTCTACAGTACATCGATGCTAACATGCATCATGAAAGGTGCAATTCTGTTCCTTTGGTCATTAACTCTAAACCCTAGCCACCTGTACCTATACTTTCCCTTTCTAGTTCTATGTCACCCGTCCACTAAATCCATCTCCTCATGTTTGGCACTATTCCCGAGAAATCCCTGAACAAAATTTTCTTTCGCATGGAAATCCTTCTATTTGTTAGAATACTAGCCAGGAGATTTGCCTAGCATGATTCCTTAGATTGTCATGCATGCACACTGAGGCACTTTCTTCCATGGGAAAACCACAATTATAGAGAAACTTTCCAACAGGGTTGATTCTCAGAGAGAAATCAAACAATTTCAACAGAAGAAATAAGCAGAAAATTCAAGAGAGGGATCATCATCAAATTAGCATCAGATAATTTTATTTCTACATCAATTTCCCTTTTGACTCTGAACACTTATAATTCTGCATCATATTTCTTTGAAATGCTAAATACTAGCATGATATCATTTCCAACTCCTTCACTTTGGTTATCAAAGATTGTAATTTGCAGTTTTATTAAGGTATGAAAAATGAATACAAAAGCATGTTAGATTGCCCAACAAGTAAACATCCTTTGCTATTTAGTTTTAGCGGCTTCTCTACTTGGATGGTTCTTATTACCTTTCATGCTTTATTAGTACCGATTCACTGTTGTAAATTAACTGAAGCCTATTCTTGATATCAGGACGTTTAGAACGGAGTTGTCTATAATCCTTGAATGATAGACATTGCGTGTTCACTTTTAATGTTGCATGAACTACTTAGATATCCTTTGAAGCTGCAAAGTTTGATGAATTACATTTTCTTATCGCATGCAGTGAGCTTCCTGGCTGAGGTTGGTGGTCTTTCTGTCACAAGCCTAGCAGTTTTTCTTTACTTGCTATCACAAGTAAGTTTTTTTAGGGAATTCACTTCAAGCTCGTCAGATAATATGTAAACTTCTTTAATATATGTTTCAGATGATTATGTGATGTGAAACCAGGAATTGGATTTAGAAAATTAATAAAATCTTGTTCAAATAATGAAATTGCAATCATAATGTTGTTCACAATTGAAGCATTCTCAAAGATCTTAGAGTTCAACTACGCGTAGGCAAGAGTTTACACCTAAATTAGCAAGTTCTATAAAATAACGACGGTAATAAATAGTAACACAAATGAAAAGCCAACTAGAATCCGGCGGTTAACAAAGCGATTGTCTCACCTTGAGGCTACGCTCATTCACCTACTTCTAGGTTCTTTGGAAGAAGAATAACCACACAAGTGATGAAACCACTCCGAGGGCGACGGTGCCGTAGATCCGTAGGGAAGGAGAGGAAGGCGCTGGATGTGGAGGTGGTACGGGAGGACGACCTTTAATGATCCACGTGTAGACAAAAAAGTGGTCGTCGATGGAATCCACTAGTGTTGGTAGAATCCGATCTAGATATTCTTCGACGGTGTCGTCGAAGTCAAAGCCTACGTCGAAGAATGGTGATCTGAGGATATTAACTCTTCCTTGGTTGTCGTACTCAAACCCGAAGTTCCACTCGGGTTCCTCCATGCATTCTTGAAGGTGGGAATGGCTGTCGCCGCAAGAGGCTCTCCAATGGGAGGGAGAGAGGGGCGGCGGGTTTGAGAGGAGATGGGGAGGCCGGCGGTAGGGAGAGGGGAAAGTTGTGGTTAGATGTAGAAAACTGAAACTAATTTCAGTTTAAGGGATTTGGGAGGGAAGAAACTTTGAGATTTGAATTTCAATTTGAGGACAATTAAGGCCTTAATGGAAAATTAATGGGAGAGAGAGAAAGGGGGAGCCGGCAGGAAGAGAAGGGGGAGAGAGGGCTTAAAACTGAAATTATTTCAGTTTTTATGCAAAGGGGAGGGAAAATTATTTGATCCTAATTTGAATTTCAAATAGGATTAGGGAGTTAATTGGGTAATTAATGGGAATTCCACATAGGGGGGCCGGCGGCATAGCTAGAGAGAGAGGGAATTGGGGAGAGAGGAAAGGGGTTTCCAATTTGGTTTGATGACGTGGCAAGGGTTTTGAAAACTCCAAATTAATTTAATTTGAAATTTATTTGATCATGAAAACTTTCCTAATTTGGATTTCCAAATTAGGAAACAATTCAAAATTTGAATTTCAAATCTCAAATTTGCAATAGGGGAAGAAAGGAAATTGACCGTATGGGAAGGATCGTCGGCGAGTTGGGCGGCCGGAGGTTGTGATCTTGGCTGGCATCGGGAAACCCTAGGGAGGGGGCCGGCGGCAAGAGCTTTGGGGGAGGGGAAGTTTTGTGGAGCTTTCTTGTGAGAAGGAAAGGGTAATTAAAAGAAAAGGAAAAATTAGAGAACTCACTAAGAGATCTCAATTGAAGAACTCACCAAGAGATCTTCATGCACTCACAACGAGAACAAAGTAAGAAAATTTTCATTCATCCAATAATCCATAAAATACAATGACAAAGCCTTTATATAGGCTATCCGGAAATAAAGAAAAACATAAAGACGACATTGCCCTTGGGCTACAACAAGCACTAATTCCCTCATAGGGGTACAAAAGAAAAAACATGAAATATAAATGACATGAATAAAATAAAACATCAAAAATAAAGACTCTGAATCATGGCCGTCGATCGGCGTCTCCGGCGATGGTACACGTGTCGAAATCTGATGTCCCCATCATTATGCATATTTGTTTAATGTTCTGCTTCAGTTATCCTTATGTCAGTTAATATATTATCCTCAATTATTTCTCCTGTAAAACTTTTGTATTTCAGCATAAATTGTGGATAATGAATAGAAATTGCGAGTGAGCATTTGCCAAGAAATTTTCATGGAGTTAAATCTGATAGTTTAAATGAGTTGTACGAGTGTCAGTATCATATTTATTTATGAAGAGATGACTGACAAATTTGTTACATACACTGTTATTTAAGGTACTTATGGGCCAAAAAGGGTAAATCCAACATTATTTTGATGGATAATAAACTCTGTAGCGTTGTGACTACTGTTTTTATCTAGGTATGACTCTGGTTCTTTACTTAATGTAATATGTTGTTGATTTTTTAGAAATGGTGAAGGCAATGGACTACATGACATTAAGATCCAATGACTTCACGAAGCTAGGGTGTTTTACTTAGAGTCCTAGGTGTCATATATAAGCATGCTAGAATTGGCCAGGCTTTGGGGATACTTTCACAGTTCATTTGTTTTTTGTCGTTCTGCATCTCATCAAAGGTAGTCTGCTTAATAAAATGTGAGTCGCAGGAAGATATTAGATTAATAAACCCAATGTTGCTACCAGTCAAATTCACTGTGGACTTGATTAACCTGTTTGGAACTTTGGGTTGTGATCTGCTAACTGACAGTTAAGTTCAACTTGAACGTGACCCTATCAAATTGGTTTGATTTCTTTGGATCGATAGCTTTCTGGCTGGTGACCAAGTTCACCTTGAATCTGTTCTGGAAAACCCCAAAATGTTTGAAAATTGGGAAATTTCTTTTTCTGCAGATCCTGTCCTTTGAGACCTTTGCATGGTCTAAAAGCGTGATAGAACCATCTCAGAACTCGGATCCTATTTAGTTAATGCTTTTGAGCCTAATGCTGCAAAAAGAGATCTATCGATCCTGTGGTTTCTAGTGTCAACTCCCTTAAACTAAAGCATTGATCTAAGAATGTAAGTGTACTTTCTTCGCAAGCTTAAGGACCAATAAAAATACCAAACCAAGATGGATTTTCCAAATACAAATTTGTAAATGGAATGCATATGCCTTAGAACATAGGCATGTATACAAAGGCCTTTCTCTCACATTTTTTGGATACAAATAGCCTTCCTAAGCAACACTCTTGTGCTGGTCTTAAGATACTTATCAAGTTCAAGCAAATTAGAAACTGTTATTTGTAATACACTATTACACTCCCTCAAAGCCTTCTAAAATTTACTTGTCTTCATTGTGATCTTTTGTTGATTCTCTTTGTGAAGTGCTCTTGAGCTCATAAGCTCAACTGTGGCATTCCTTATTTGGGTTTTCAGTTTGCATGATTTGATTCTGTTCCTCTTCACTTCATCTAGTCTATGAACGTTTAATTTGGCAAAAAAAAATTCCCTATGCTTGGATGCTTGCAAATCTTTATATGCTAGTAATATTTCATTGTAAAACCTTGGAAGGTTTTGATCCTTGTATTCCAGCTAGCTTGATCTTTTATGTGGAATTGGAAAACTTTGTGAGGGTTGATTTTTAACGCATTAAATTTAAGGATTTTCTTATGCAGGATGGTGTATAAAGGTTAAGTACTTCACTCTTTAAAAAACCATTAGGTGAATGTTCTAACTTCTAAGGGACTTCAAAAATGGATGTATGCTTGGTTAGAAGCCGAACCTTTTTAAATTATGTGTTTGTAGTATAGCTTAAATCTTATTCCTTATATTTTCCACTCAAACTCAGCTAAACTAATCTTATTTCAAGAAAAATCACTATACATTTAAAGAATTTTAGAAGCCATTTTTTAAAAACATTCTATTCAACCCTCCGTCTCTTAAATGTGCTTATGGGTTAAAAGTGATAGATTGGCAAAATCCTATTTGAAGGACTAATGTTTATTTTTCTGCATCTTGTCTTTTTTTATTGCATTTGGAATATGAACGGCCATAAATTTACCATGCAATTTTACGTTTTCTTGCCAACTCATCTGATCTGCAGTGTGAGGCCAGATTCAAGAATCTTCGTTTTGAAGATACAACAATGAGGCACATTAGAAGACACAAACGTGCTCAACGGCATTGGGATAAGGTCTTTTTTTAAGGTTGCACTTCTATTACCTTCAATACGAATTAGTTCATACTGGTTGTTCTTATCCAGGTAAGGAAATATGTCAATTACACTTGGGGGCAGAGTAGCATCAATATCAAAAGTAGAAGCAAATCTAGTCAAATTATTCATGGAAGTAGATCACTCCACAAAATGAATCAAGCTTCCCGAATTTTATACCATCAAAATGTGTCTGGCATGCCATCTGAGAAGGTATCAATTAGCACCATATCAAGGGATATACTAGAAACCCCTTTACATGATATGCTTCTATCTTTACTGAACGTAATTCATCATTATAAACTGATAATAGCTATGCTGCTATAGAATTTTGTCGTAGATGCTGCTGAGACTGTGGATTTGAGTTTGGATTTCGAAGGTATTGCTTCAAGCTTTAAAGCACGGTTTCAGTTTTCTGATGTTGGAAATGTAAGCCTTAGTCTTTTTCTTGGTCTTGAAGCGTTTGATAGGCCTCTTGTCTCATCTATAATGTTTCCATGATGTTTTATCATAGCCTTTTATGACTTAGTAACCTACTATTTTGATTATGTTGCTGTTTATATATTGGGCAAGATTGTACTTTTTAATTCTGATCCCATGCCAAACACTTGGAGACTGTTTAGCTACAAGTAGGATTTAGTAAATCTTGGGGTTCTTAAATCCTGAAATTTTTTTGGCATGATAGATGTTAATTTAGTTAAGTCTTACTAAACTAATTGACATATTTTCAAGATTTAAGATTTAAATGAAGGAGCAAAAGAGATTAGTGAGGAAAAGTCTAGATCTCTTTGATTGTATTTCCAAGTTCAGGATATAGCCTAAAATCGGAGGAAAGCAAGATTTAAGAAAGTAGTAGGATTTCTGTGGCTCAAAAAACTATTTCGGAAGGTTTAGCCTAAATTCTAGCTAAATCTTGGCAAAATTGTGAAACCAAAGAACCCTTTAGTCTAATAATACTGTGTTACTTGTTGTTTTAGCTTCTTTCATGCGATTTGTATTTCTATTGTTATACGTTGAATTCTCAATCCATTCAAAATGCAAGACAATATTTAAAAAACTTTTATTGAATCCCATGATTTCTTATACGCAAATATGTTTATGTTTCTTTGTACAGCAAGCAAATAACATCAAGATTGAAAGGAAAAGAGTAGCCTGAAGGTTTTCCATATACTCATCTGAAATGGATATCTTGTTCAGAAGATACGAGGAATGTGCTTTCACAGTATCCTAGTAAGACAATTTCAGTATATAACTCCTGACATATACTTTGCTGGTGTATATTACGAACATAAGCCCAAATCAATTAGTTTACCATTTGATAACTGTACTATTATCCCAAATCCATAGGAAAGCATTTGGTTGTGCAACTGAAATCAAATGTTTAACCATTTCATGATCATACAGTTATCCCAAAACCATATGATGAGCTTAAACTTGATGACTAAAATCAAATCTATAATCATATGATTAAGGCTTCGTTTGGGATGGCTTTCTTATTGCTTCTTAAAACAACTTTAAAGTACAAAAATTAAAATTTTTGTACCAAAATATTGCTTTAAGAAGCAATAAAAAAGCCATTCCAAACGAGGCCTAAGAAACATTCTATATATTTTTAATGCTTTTTTCTAGGCTATTTGAGTCAATTTTATGTCACTTCGACTATAGATGTGATGAGACTATAGGCTAACTTGCTGGATCTTTCAATTAAGATGTAAATTAAATAAAGAGTTGGGTCTAAGTTTTAAATTTTGAAGTAAAAGTAAATTTCACCATTGGTAGTGTACCTTTGATCTTTTTTATTCACTCTTGATAATGTTAGCATCAAATATATTTAATTTACTTTACATTTTTTTCTAATTCAATATGATACATTTCATTGGAAAGTCTTTGTACTTTGATATTTATACTTTAATTTGTTATGTATTGTTTTTTAATGTTATATAATGTCGTAAGAATTACTGAAATGGCACTGTCCGTTGAAAACTAAAAATAATAATGTATTTGGTTTATTCATTGAGAGCTGCTGCGCATTAAAGAAATAGCCAAAAGCTCATAAATTACTCTGGAATCGTGCGTTTTACGGTTTCCTCTCGTGAGCCAGCTGTAATAATATAACTGATTTATTTTGTAATTAACTAAATCTTTTTTTTTTTTTTTATAAAAAAAGGTTATTATAGCTGGATTTGAAATAAAAAATTCAATAAAGCTGCCCAGCACTAACGAAGATAGAATGAAGTGCCGTAAAATAAAAATAAAAAAAACTACCCAAAATGCAGTGAAGTACAGTAATAGTTTTTTTTTTTTTTTCTTTGGGAAAATAGATCGCAGCAGTAAACAAATATTACCCTAAGAAAAAAAAAAAAAAGCTATTTATCCCCTCATGCAACCTCCAACGCAGTCGCGATCAGCAATCTTCCTCTCGGTAAAGGCGGGATCTCACGAGCTACTCGAGCTCATTTTTACCACTCGAGCTCATTTTTACCACTACGAACCAACCTCGAGCTTGTCTTTTGAGCTCGACTCAAGTTCAACTTCGAGGTCAAATTAGGCCTTGACTCAAGCTCAATTTGTTTACACCCCTAGTTGTAGCACTTGTTCGATTGAACCCAGTGTCGTGGCAAAGCTGCCTAACACTGCAACATTGAATAAATTTCTGAAATTCCAAAAAGCTTAATGCAAGGGTGCCACCCACCTTTGTTGTAGCGCTCTCGGCCATGGTTTTGAAAATCAAACAGATTGGTTCAACCAGTTCAACCATGAATCAGTCATATGACCAGTTCAATCTTCATAAAAAATTAGCATGCACGCACTTTCAAAACAGTAACACCCTAATGGACATGAGGAGCTTGGTTAACATTATCTTCAAAAGTGTCTATGAAAAGATGAACTTGGCACTTCTCACCTAAGTCTGACTATCAAGCATGTATTTAGCTTTTTTGGGGAGTGTGGAGAGATATAAGGAGTGATCATATTGCTTATCACTTGGGGAGAATGAGAAAGATAATTCATTATCATGACTAAATTTATCATCTTGATGCATCGACTACATATTATGTCTTTTTTGGTTGAATACTGCTAGACAGATTTTGAGTAGTGATTTGTATGTATTATGTTGTTTTGAAATTCCTGATAGAAGGTTTTGTAGTGATAGTGAGAGGTGGCTTGCAATAATCAATGACATGTTATCTAAAAGTTATGGGGAATGTGTAATAAGGAATCCTTTGATTTAATGTTCAAGGGGATTCAAGTTAGAGACTACTAAAATCATTGAGAAAGTGTGAATCTCTAAAGCCAATTCACAATGAAGTTTAAAAGCTTTTAGAGGTTTGATTAATTCATCATAGAAGTATAATATTCATAGTAGAGTTCAAATATAATCATTGTGCAAAATTTGAATGGCAACTGGCGTATGTCCAACCACTTCATAAATATAAACTTAGCCTACTCCGAAAAATAGTTATATGTTGCCATGTATTGACACCTTAGTCGACTCTATAGTTGATTATGCTATGATGAGCTTTTTGGATTCCTTTTTGGGACATCATCAATTCAAAATGAATCTTATTGATTACAAAAAATGGCCATCATCTCAAGTGACATGTTATGTTGTTATACTTGATGCCCTTAGCTTAAAAATGTAAGTGCTACTCACCAAAGGAAGAAATATATTTTAAGAGAGAAAAAATGTCACAATATTGAACTATATGTTGATGATCTCTTGATTAAAAGCAAAGCACCATAGTAGCACATTCTTGATTTCAAAGAAAACTTTTCAACTCTAAAAAAACTATATATATATATATATATGAAGATGAATCTTCTTAAATGTATCTTTGGAGTTGGTTTTGTCAAATTCTTAAAAAGCAAAACAACTTATCACAAATATGAAACTTGAGCAACTAAGAATATTCCCCACCGAAGAGTACTAGTGAAATAATGTTAGAAAAATAAAAATTAATTTAGAGAATATGCATGTCATATTTCATACAATACGAAGAAGTTATCATTATTGCTCCAATGCTCAATTCTAAAACAAAGGTAATATTTCATTTTAGCAAAGATAGCACTCATTAAATAAACATGATTATCATATCTTTTGTCATCATAATCTCTCCCAATATAATTGAAAATTCATAAAATAGAGAGTTAATCATAATCATGGTTTTGAAATTGAAATTGAACTGGCTGATTTGACCGTGAACCAGCCATATGGTTGATTCGGTCAGCACAAAAAATCAGTCCAACATTAATCGATGAGAGCTGATTTGAACCACTAGTTCAACCGTTGAACGAGTCTCAAATTTTAAACATCCCCCGATTCAATGCATAATATATTTAAATAGTTTAATTTGATATAGCATATTTAATGAAATATTAAATTAATTTAAATATAATATATATATTATTTAATAATATAAAAAAAATTAAATTATTATGTATGAGCATCAACAAATCATACATATATGATTCCACATCCCTTTTGGGCTCTTAACCCATAAATATAAGAAAAACTTTATAAACAATACAATAGTAGAACTAAACAAGTAGTAATATTGTACGATTTTATAAATATAATTTTATAGTTTAAAATTTATATATTATATATATTTATATATAAATTAAATTTCTATTAAATATGAATTCAAATTAAAGATTAGAGATATTTATATTTAAAATTAATAATTATTTATATTTAAAGATATAATATAAAGCAATAATTATTCATATCATAAAATAATGAAATATATTATTTATTTTCTAATTCTAAAATTATATTATTTTATAATTATTACATAAATATCTTATTATTTAAATATCATTTAAATTTTTTAATATTTATTATATCATTTGATTCAACTCTAATCCAATTCTAATCGAATTACTAAATCTTATATCTTTCTCTTTTTTAATTCTATCTCTAATCCCATTATTACAACCTGATCATAACATTATCCCATTTAATTCTAATAGGAGACTCCAACTTATTTTCCAATTATGTGTTATAAAAACTAGATAAAGCTATATCTCTTATTCATCATGAGAAGGGCAAGAATTCAATTCTCCCTTAATAATCTAAAGTGCACTCATGATAGAGGCAGCATTATTCAAGCACCTTGCAGTTGTGAATTATTAAGTTCGGTGATCGGACATTCGGACATCTAATTCAGACGCATCATGTCATCTAAATACATTAGGATCCGATGTATTTAGATGATGTGAAGCGTGTGAATTAGTGTCCTGAAGGATTTGCCTTGCAGTTGACACCTGGCTTCCGGTAGATACCGACCCAGACCAAACTTCTTTCGGTCCATAATTTCTGTTGACAATACGGGCCAAAAGCAAAGCGGAGAACGGTCGGTGCGAGGAGCGTGGGAGCTCGAGAATGGATGACAGAAAGGAAGAAGACGACGGCGAAACCGGTTATCGAGATATCTACGTATCCGAAGGCTTAGGCGTTTCCCGACGCCGGCGAAATGTGCAGTTCTGTAGCCAGTCTCCGGATCGCCACGCCGTCCCAGTGGACGCCACCTCGAAGGGAAGAAGCATTCGGGAGTACGGGGAAGACCAAGTATCCGATACCTTCTGTGAAAATCTTGCTTCCGGCGGTACCTACGCTTTCAACGAAGGTAGCAACGTTGCCCGATCTTTGTCCTGCCCTCAATATTGCTCCACCCCGTCGCCGCTGTCACATCACAATTACTCCAATTCCGTGGAGGATATTCGATTCCCGTACTCCAACTATGCAATTGGTGGATCTCTTGACAGTGTTATCTCCTTTCCCTTCGATCCACGGCGCGACAGCGACGTTAGTTCCATTTCCGAGAGCGACGGCACAGTAACCCTCGAGCGCGCCATGTCGGAGTTCGGTGGCGCACCGGGGACCCTGCCGGAGTTCATGGGCGTCGGTGGTGGCACTGGGATTTTTCGCGTGCCGATCTGCGCCGCGATGCGCGCCGACCGGCCGCCAGCGCTGGAGCTCCGGCCGCACCCGCCTCGCGATACCCAGGCAGGGTCCTTTCTGCGCACTATTGTCTGCACTAGCTCGCAGCTTTGGGCTGGTCAGGAGTCAGGATTGCGTTTCTGGAAATTTTCCGAGTTTTTCGAGAGTTGGAACGGGAGGATGGCAAAGCGAGGGGATGAGGACAGCGCCCCTTTTTATGAGTCGGACTGCACTTCACCAGTACTTTGCTTGGTGGCAGATGAGGCGAGTGGGTTCGTGTGGAGCGGGCACAAGGACGGAAGGATAAGATCATGGAAAATCCCAAAGCCGGAGTCGGAGAGTTCTTGGAAGGAGGAGGATGTGGAAATTGGATCGAAAACCATTGGTGCTGGGATTGGTGAGCCTGGTTCTCTGTTCAGAGAAGGTCTCTCATGGCAGGCCCATCGCACTCCTGTGCTATCCATGATCATCACTTCATATGGTAATCCACGTTTGAAGGTTTCATCTTTATCTTCCCCTTCATCTTTCTGGACTTTTCGTGCTTAATGCAAATGCTGCATCAGCGTATGACTAAATTAGTATGTTACAGTTTGATCGTCAAATTATACTTATCCTGAGATATGGGTCCTTGATCGTTCCATCTCTAAAAGTGAAATGGATGGTTTCAGTTACAAATTGGTTATATTCTACATAGAGCTGGATCTATGATTGGTATTTTGTGAGTTTGAGAACTGAAAGAAAGAACTAAATAGTTTTACACATTCTCTGAGATCTTGCTCTGATTTGATTATTAGTGTATCATGAACTGAGGATGAGCTTTAAGGTGAAAATTACATGGCCTGTTTGATTTGCTTATGAATACGATTAGTATTTGGCTCACCCTCATTTTCCTGCTAATTACCACCAAGCCCCATTATGTGACATTCAAATCCCCATTATCTGCGTTAGAGTGACTTGAAGCCTTTCAATGCCATGTGGTTGGCTTGGAGGCTCTTTGTAGGAGGGAGTAAAGTGCCAGAAAAATCACTAAGAAAACTTCTGTTTAGGAAGCTTTTAACCTGACAACCAGCCTTAGACCAACTATTTGAGGATGGTGTATAAGTTATTATTCTTTTCCTACTAATCTATTCTAACTATTTACTATTATGATGAAAACATGATTTTGTTTTTAATTGACGCCATTTTACTTAGTCCTTAGCTTTAATATAAATATACATTCAAAATAAATCCAACTTAGTAACTGCTAGCATCTGCATGCTTTTATTTATTTTTAGGATATGTTTAGCCATATTTTTTCAGTACTGCTAATATCTTTGACAAAATAGAAATATCATTTTTCATACCTTTGTTCTGCTTATTTTTCCTTACGCTGTGTCTGCTGATCTTCCAAATATGCTATTTTATCCACTCGTTACTGATATCAATCAATATCAATATATTTGTTTAGCATAAGCATTTATGATCATCTTCATATTTTTCTGAGCTTATTTTGATTTGCCGGAATCTGTTATTTTAACTTATAATCTTTTTCTTTTTTCATCATTTGTGTACGCCAGGTGATTTATGGACAGGTTCTGAGGGCGGGGTTTTGAAAGTCTGGCCATGGGAATCCATTGAGAAGTCGCTTTCTCTGACTGTAGAAGAAAGACACATGGCTACTTTACTAGTCGAGAGGTCATATATTGATCTTAGGAGCCAGGTCACTGTAAATGGGGTGTGCTCCCTGCCATTTGTAGATATACGATTTCTGTTATCTGACAATTCTAGATCTAAAGTGTGGAGTGCTGGTAGCACAACCTTTGCACTGTGGTAATCCTTCGAATCCCTCTTTTTTTAATAAGTTTTTTTTTTTTTTTTTTTCTTTTTTCTTTCAATTCAAAACAAAGACTGTCATTATACCAGTGACCTGGCTTTCTTCTTAGTTTTTTTTTATTTTTATTTTTTTTAAAACTCATGTGAACTAGATCTCCTGCAATTTTGCAGGGATTCTCGCAAAAAGGAGCTTTTGAAAGTCTTTAACATAGATGGTCAGGTTGAGAATCGGATTGATATAGCATCTCAGGAGATGCATGTGGAGGATGAGACAAAAGCCAAGTTAACAAAGAAGGAAAAATCAGGATCCATGAGTTTTTTCCAACGCTCAAGAAATGCCTTGATGGGTGCAGCTGATGCTGTTCGGAGAGTTGCACAGAAGGGAACATTCACAGAAGATAGTCGAAGAACAGAAGCACTAGCCATAACAATGGATGGAATGATTTGGACTGGATGCACTAATGGTTCACTTTTTCAATGGGATGGAAATGGGAATAGACAATTTGAATTTCAGCATCATTCTTCTGCAATAACGAGCATTTGTGCCTTTGGGACTCAGCTGTGGGTGGGATATGTGGATGGCAACATTCATGTTTTGGATCTTGAAGGATATTTGCTCGGTGGTTGGGTTGCTCATAGTGGTCCTCTTATAGATATGGATATTGGCTCTTCTTATATTTTTACTTTGGCAAACCATGGGGGGATTCGTGGGTGGAGCCTAACATCACCAGGACCAATTGATGACATCTTACGAATGGAGCTGTCCAGTAAAGAACTCACCTACACAAAAACAGAAAAAATTAAAATCTTAGCTGGTACTTGGAATGTTGGACAAGAAAGAGCATCTCACGATTCTCTCATTTCATGGCTTGGCAGTGCAGCAACTGAAGTTGGATTAGTTGTTGTTGGCCTTCAAGAAGTTGAAATGGGTGCCGGCTTTCTTGCAATGGCTGCTGCAAAAGAGACTGTAAGTTATTTATGCTACATCTTTACGCAACATATGCTGCTTTTTCTTTTTTTTTTTTTTAAAATAAAAATAAAAAAAACATATGCTGCTTTTTCTTGTTTTAATGTTTCCAAACACCATTGTTCAAACTCTAGCTGGCATCTAGCGTAGAGGAATGCAAACATAAAATAAAAGCTTACATCGTTTTATGAAACCTCCATTTCGTTCCTGCTAATAGAATTTTTACTAGTAAGATGATGAGGACATCGGAGATCAACGGCTACGATTTTTTTTAGTTATTTATTTATATGTTTTTGTACTAGTTTATTTTATATTGTTGTTTTTCCATTTATACCCTTATGGGTGGTCATGTAGTGTTGTAGCCCGAAGGACATTTTAGTCTTTGTTATTTTTCTTTTCATGAGGCCTATTTATAGGCTAACTTTACTGTATTGAGGGATGATGATGGATAATGAAAAGTTTCATGTTTTTGTTGATCTCTTAGTGAGTTCACGTGATCTCTTAGTGTCATGAGAGGAGAAGCCCGATGAGGGTAATTCGCAATACCCGCCAATCTTTGGAAGAGTCCGAGGTTCGCGGTTCTTACGATCTCTTTGTGAGTTCGTTAGTTATCTCTATCTTTCTCGTATATTCTTGTTCTTCTCTTTTCTCCGCTCTTCATCCACAAAATATTCCCCTAGCTCCATTGCCGCCGCCCCCTTGGAGTCCACCCACCGGCCACCCTCACGGCTCCGGCCGGCCACTTTGCCGGCAACCTCCCCAACCGTCCACTTCTCCCTCCCGCATGCTCCAAATTTGAAATTTGAATTTCGAATTTTGAATTCTTTCCTAATTTGGAAATCCAATTTAGGAAAGTTTATTTGATAAATTCCAATTTCAAATTAAATTAAGTTGGAGTTCTCATAACTTACCTCTACGTCATCACCCACCTTGTTCTTCAAATTTCGAAAATTCAAATTTAAATGAGCTCCATTCAAAATTCAAGTCTTTTCCCTCCCAATTTAATCAAAACTGAAATTAAATGTCAGTTTTTGATTAATCTTCCCCAACCCTTTAATTCCTTCCAAATCCACTACTCCTAAGTAAGGAATTAATTCAAACGCTTCCCCTCCTTGCTGGCCGAAATTCCCCACAGCTGTTGGCTGATTTTTCCTTCCCAAATCCCTTCCAAAACTCACGGAAAACTGCTGCCCAACATCTCAATTTGCTGTTTGGAAATTCCTGCAGCAGCCCACCGACGTCCAGCCATCCCGGGAGCGATAATTGCTGTCCAGATCTCGGGGACAGCCCTTCTTCCTGTCTAGAAGTTTCCCTGAGCTCAATAGGTTGCTATCCTGTTGACCACAGCAAACTATGGTGCTGTCCAACCGTCCAGAACCAGTCCTAGCTGCTGTCCTGAGGAGATCTACTGTCGTCCAGCCGCCCGAAGAGGGGCTTCCCTTGTTGTTGAGTAGTTCCAGAAGTTTGAAGGCTGCTGCCCCTTCATTCCAGCCATCGTCATAGCTTCATAACTCCTTTTTTTTTGGTAAACTCTTCACTCACTCTCTATCTTCTAAGTTAACTCTACTCGTGGTTATAATTTGATTCACAAAGCACATGTTTTATCGCCTCCGCTAAACCTAGTATTTGAATGAGTTGTGAGAGAGGCCCTTTATAATACTAATCTTATTGTTAGCATTGGAATTTCTCGTTGAAACCACTCATGTATGCAAAGTAAGACTTATATGACTATTTAATGATCTCAACCTCTCGCATGTGTTTAGACCTAAGCTATTTTATCACCTTATCATTTTTATTTTGTCGTTTATCATCAAGAGAAAGTTTATAATTATTGTGCTCTAAAATTTAAGCGTGCAAACTTTCTTAATTTAATCATCCATGCTTGTACGTTTCACATCATAAGAATGTTGGAAAGGGGCATCAATTGGATGCAGGGCTGGACGGATGGCAGAATATTGTAGGAAATCAGAGAAGAGTATTGCAGTTTGGAAGAAGGAAGTTTACCTAGGAGAAAAGAACCTGGTGCAGGCGACAATCTATCTAAACTGTCAAGAGCTGCAAAAGGGGGATGGATGCTGTTTGGCCACATACAAAAGATGAATCTGTTTTTGCAGGCTCGGGTAAAGTTTATCATATTGAATGAGTTCCGGGGGCTTGGCAATGCTGGATTTGTTTTAACTTGTGTTTACTTGGTTTGGGTTGAGTTTACATTTTGAGTGAGTTGAGATGTGCTGTGGTGCAGGTTAGGGGGTTGAATGTTGGTTTAAGACAGTTAAATAAGTAAATTTGAAGAGGAAAGGTTGAAGTGGCAGTTGGATGGGTTAAAGGGTGGTGAGTCTTTTGTGGATAGAAGTTTTGGATTTGAATTTTGTAAATTGGGAGTAGATTTGCCTACTAGCTGGACACGATTGCAGCAGGATGTTTTCCGGTGGCTGGATTAGGTGGCTGGAAATGATTTGTAGGAAGCTGGCGATCTGCCTGATTGCTGCAGGTACAGCAAGCAGGCAATGCAGAATTCAGGAAATAGAGCGTCACTTAGAGAACAGGAATCTTGGTGTGTAGTTGCCTCATGAACATCAGCTAACTAATAAAATGAACGCAAAAAAAATTGAGTTCTTCCCTTTTGGCAAGTGCAGACAGCAGAAATTTTGAAACAACGAAGCTACTAGCAAAAAAAAACAGGATATTTGTAGATAATTGGCGAAACAGTTTTATGGAAGGACTTTTCGGGAGTCAATCCGTTCATGCAAAATTAATACAACAGTCAGCAGGAAGAATCAAGAATGGCAGGTAGGGGCTTTTGGATCCCATTGTATGTCAAGGGTCAGTGGTGGGGTAGGGGCTTTTGGATCCCATTTTATGTCAATGGTGGGCAGAATTTTGCAGTAAATTGATAAGGGAGAGGACCGGCTCCGCCAGTCGGTCCAACAAGAGTAGGACCAGCAGAATCGGGCGGAAGCAACAATGGGGTTTCGCCTCCCCCCTATGGGGCCCATTGAACCTATAATTCTGTATGTAAGGAAAAAGATTAAGAGAGGAATTAATATGTGGTTTGAATTCAAATAGGAGAGGGAGATGTGTAAGGAAAGTTTCCTAATTGTTCTTAGATTATTTAGGAAAGCTTCCTAATTGGGTTTATTATATATTAAGAAGGTTTTAATTATTTAGGAAAGCTTCCTAATTAGGTTTACTATATGTTAGGAAGGATTTAATTAGGAGGATTTTTATTAGAAAGCTTCCAAATACGTTTCTTATGTATTATAGCTATTTAAGTGAGAGTTGTCTAGCGTGTATATGTTTTTGTTGGATTTTCTATTGTAGTTTTTCTTGGAGGCTTCCTAGTGGCATCTAGGTTGTTTGGGAGAGCCAATTGTTGACCCATAACTACTGTCGGAGACCTAACTTCCCCCACGATTGAAACCGCCCACAATCGCACAACCGTCCCCTCTCACGAGACAAAAATGAAACCCTCCTCTCATTCGGTTTTCACGCTCACAGAGAAGTTCAAAACAGGAGAAAGGGTTTGCGACTTACCTCTTGCTCCGACTCCAACCCCTATATATATATAATTATAACATATTATAATAATATTTATATTATATTATATTATAAATATCATATTTTCATATGCATATTATTTTAATATTTAGATATTAAAATAATATTATTAAACAAAGAGAGAAAGATGGAGAGAAATAATTTGTAAATAGGTGGGAGAAATTTGAAGGAAGTCCCAGGGTTGATCCGGTCCCCTGAAGCCCTCGGTTGTCGAGGTTATCCGACCGAGGGAGCGCAGACTCTACTCTTCCAATCTCCTCACCGTTGATTCACTCCGGCCGATTCGAGCCAAAGGGCAAGTGCTCTCCCCAACCTCCCCGCGACGGGAGGGGGCGTCGAAAGGCTGCCGGATTTTTGAGGGGACTAAAAATATTTTTAAAATTAAATGAAATTGCTTAAATTAGCAGGTCGTGCACATTAGAAGTCTTGAAGACTTTTTTATGGGATTGATTCGCTCTCCCAAATCTCCTCGCCGTCGATTTGATCCGGCCGAGTCGAGCACTCCCTTACCTCCCGGCATCGGGGAGGGAACACCGGAAGGCTGCCGAAATTTCCTCAAAATTTCGGGACTTAGCCAAATTTTTGGAATGATTGCAAAATGCTCAAATGATCATTCAATTTGAAAATAATTATAATATTAATTAATTGAATCAAAATCCTAAATTAACTAAGAGGATTTAATTCAACACTAAGTCTCTTAATTAATTTAACTAACCAACTTAAACAAAATCCACTTCATAGATCTAACATATTTATGACGTTTAAGGTGAAGGAAGTGATGGTTAATGAGAAGAATAAATCTTTCATCGTATTGTTCTCAACATGGTTGAGATGTTTAATAACACTTTGGAAAGATTATAGTCGATTGAAGTTCACAAATCTACATTATAATTTTTTATATAAATATTATATGATGATAAAATAGAGACTGAATTTGACATGCAATAAATGTAACAAGTTGCAATGCACACGACACGTCGTATAAAGGAAATATGCCATACACACAAAATATTGTGTACGAACAAGATATTAAATGACTACAACAATTGTAAAAGCCTACAAGCCATTGAAGGAGGCCCATTATATGTTCAATGTGCTGTATGGGGATAAATGTGAAAGGATTACAATTCATCTGTAAGAATTAACAAATAACACTACGCCACCAGATCCGCAACATATGTGTAAGTGGACTGAAGGCGTTTGTAGGCCCTTAAATGAAAATTTGGACATTTTTTTAAATAAAATCACTCTCGCAAATGGATTATATTTAAATATTTTAAAATGCCCCTTATATATTAAATATGATCCCTTGAACTAAGTAAATCCCTGCATGTGCTCAGGTCAATGCATTAAAATTACAAACACCAAAGTCCGAGAATGCTGCGCAGGTTCAAATGCTATAACCCGTATGTGCTCCAATAGTCACATTTAAGCCCCAAATCCAACGATTCGAGAATGTTGCGCGGGTCAAATATTCAAGTTTTATCATCCTCCTTAAAAGGATTGGAGTTGACATGACTTGAAGTATAAATACCTACCAAAATCCTACAAAAACAAATGACCTTAATGCCACACCGATGATGGCCGTGTTGATCGAAAATCTCAATCGGAGCGGTCAAATTTCAAATCCAATAAAAGTTTAAATCTCTGAAATGAAATATATCTTCTTAAAACTGAAACTAAAAATCATCCACCTCCCGCAACCGTTTGTCGGGGGTGATAAATTTGGAATTAACCTAAGCTCACAAAGAGCTAATGCATATTGGGTGTATTACTTCGATTCATCCTCAAATAGTCTCTTGCCAATAGGGACGTGGCACGTGCCCTCTGATCGGGTGGTTTTGCCGCAAAACGGCACCATTATATTACGATCAGGCCAAAGCCCGTATGTTCCCTAACGACGTCAAACCCTTGAGTTTTGAATCATAGGTTATATTCAATAGTCATAAAGCCCAATGTCAGCTAAGGTGGATTCAGATATAGCCCCTTAGATAAATATCAACCCAGGTCTACAAGGTATTCTTGGACAAAGCAACCCATGGTTGCCGACAAGGTGCCTTTTGTCAGGTTGGGTCGACTACTTCCTCTGACTAAGTAGACCAGGGAACATGATAGCCCGGGACGATGGAACCATGAGATCTTGATCGAGCTCGTCTTCATTCCCCCCACCACAAGTTTTAAGTTTATGATGATAAACTCTAAATTCCATACTTCAAAATCCAAATCATTAGATCATATTTAAACCATAAAATTGTTGTTATTATACACTGGATTTATGATCCATATAACCTCCTTAACGACTAGCCTTAATCGAAAGTTCTCTCATGTTATCGGGAGGGGTAATTAACTATAGGGGCTTGCACCTATAGGAAATCAGAACTCATATCAAAAAGTCCTCACAAAATGAGGGCAAAATCTCTGGGTAGTGTCTTATCTAAAACCCAATCTGCCTTCTGAAAATTCCCCCGAAACCTAATATCGTTAAAACTCTCTGTCGCCATCTTCATCATATATGCTCAAAAGAATAATAGACGGATGGCACGGAGAGGCCGGAACAACACCATTAAAATGAAATTTTTCGGAGCCTACACCAATCTACCTCTCGAATTGCAGATCACCTATATCTTGTTGTTTCTTCTTGATGTATTAATACAAAATCAGCCACCGCTTTGGTTTTACTGTAGTTTTCATATTTTTTGTTAGTTGTTTTTGTTTCCGACGCGTGTCAAATTTGTATTAGAGCAGTATCCTTGATTGAAATATCAGCTTTCCTCATGATTTCGGCCGTTTATTCCTCTCTGTTTGCTGAATTTTGCTGTTTGCACGTCAAAGATTCACGTCAAAGTTGCTCATTTTTGTTGATAAAGCCTTGATCCGAGTACCGATGGATGGAAGAAGAGTTGAGGTGTTGAAGATTTTTTTTTTTTCTTTTGTTAATAATAGCAGTCTCTGGTGGTTATTTGACTTTGTTGTGGTTTAAATATTTTATCATTATTTCGTGAATATTCAGGTATCCAGATTATGAAGCATGGTAGCAATCTTAAAGTAGATTAGATTTGACTCTAACATGTTACCTTTCACCAGTAGGTCTGGAGCTAATCTTGTTCTAATACATCAGAAATGTCAAGCTTCTATTTTGAAACAACTCTTTAAGATTTTACGTATATTATTTATAATCCTGAAAAGGACTGATGGGTATTTTGGGTGCTTGATTTCATTCCTACTTTCTTGTATGAGAAAATTAGTTTAATTTTTATTTTATTTTTTATGATATACATAAGTACTCATTATCTTGATGTTGATCACATATATTTGATTGCAAGTTTAGTTGATTATTAAGTTTTCAGATGTTAGCTTGCCATAGTCTATTAGTAAACCAGAATTTATTTGTAACATTGGGTTTGCTTATTGTTTCTCTATAAATATTCTTTTGCTTTCTGTTCCGCAAATGTTTCTCATTATCGACCTCAAATGACATGAGCAAGGGCCTTCCTCAATTTATAGCATGACCATCTTGATTGTTGATCAGACATGTGCTCCATGTTTTCTTTTAATGGATAAGGACATTTTGATACTTCGAGGCATATTTAGCACACCTTTTCATCCTTATGGGATTTTCAAAACACTTTTCTATTTATTTGAAGTCTATTTTATTAGGTATAGAATAAATTTAGTTGTTTCTTCGTCTTATCTATATTGATATGCTTGTTTTTAAATTTTTCATTGTTTTGAAGTTGGGAAAATTTCTGCTTGTCATAATCTTATGGAATAAGTACAGCATCTGGATTTACTTGTACACAAGTAATGAAGCTATGCCTGCCATTTATGTTTTTCATACTCCAACTAGAACTTTATTTTCTATTAATGGAAACCCTCTTATAAACTTTGGTTATTTTAGTTTTAGATGCTTATTTTTCTTCCTGAAAACTGTAGTTATCGCAAACTATGTTATAGAATTGCCTCTGCAACTCCATCCAGAATTAACTAATAATTAGTTATTTTGAGATAATTGTTTTTGCAGGAAAAATGTAGTGTTTCTTGGATAAATTCTTACAAGTCTGTTTCCCTACATGTGAAATATAATATGGCTTCTTATTGCGTGACTGTGAAGTTCATTCTTACTAGGAACCAGATGACATTGAAGACTGTAACCTCAAGTGATGACCTCAGCGTATTTAATTTCCTCATTTTTCTCATTTCAGTGTGTCAACATTATGTATTATTTAGTCTATTCAGAACACTCAAAGCGTGCTTGGTTTAATTATGATTAATGACCAATGAGCTGCAGTACTTATCTTTTGTGATAGGAAATGGGCAGTTTCGTAGATTTATTAAAAGCATGTAGATTCCTATGATCTTTGTACAAAACTATGACTTGTTAGTTATAAAATTCATGGGTTCCTGCTAATTTGCAGTCAATTGTAACTTGAAATTCTACGTTTAAGAAAATCATTATTTTATCATTTGAACTTTCAACCCGAACCTTCTTTTTTAGAGTCTTTCCAGAAGAGCTTGCTAATAATAAGATTACCCATGTAGTTTTGTTTAACCATGAAATGCTTAGTTGCTGAGGAAGTATGCGTAAATTTAGTTGTTTTATTGCACTTAACGTCCTTTTACTGGTTATAGGTTGGTCTTGAGGGGAGTAATAATGGGCAGTGGTGGTTGGATACTATTGGTAAGACCTTAGATGAAGGAACATCTTTTGAACGTGTTGGCTCAAGGCAGCTTGCTGGGTTGCTCATTGCTGCATGGTATTTAGTTCTCTCTAAATTTATTATTCTCTACTTCCATGATACTCTTTTGTGAGTGGAGGGTTATCCAATTTTTCTAAATGTTTAATTCTTTTTTATCCTTCTAATTTCTTGCTGTGACTTTCCTGCTCTTTCAGGGTTAGGAAAAGCCTTAGACCAAATGTGGGTGATGTTGATGCTGCAGCTGTAGCATGTGGTTTTGGGAGAACGATTGGAAACAAGGTATCCTTACAAGCTAAATTACTTTCATTTCTTTATCTGTCAATGATACCAGTGTTTAGTAATTATACTTATAAATATCATGTTGTTATGCTTATTAATATTATTTTTGCTGTGAAAAGAATGCATTACAAGGACAGAGGGCCAGAAACTACATGCTAGAAGACATGCTTTCTGAAACCAGTATGTATGAGAAATGCCACTCAATGTAATAAAAGGGTGGTTCATAAAAATTAATTAATTTAAAGGCTTAGGTCAGATTTATAAAAAATAAACAGTGTTGGGCCAACTATGATAAAATGAATTAAAAATGGGGGAGAAACTGAGAAGGATAGAAGCATGAATTTTCTCACCAAAAACAAATTCTGCAGCTACCGTGTACTTGGTATAAGACTAATGATGATGATGATGATGATGATGATGATGGTGGTGGTAAATGATTCTAGCTAGTCAACTCATAGGTATAAATAAGAGCTGGAAAACCATATAATTATACCAGAGTTCGCTGAAATTCAGTCTGAAATTTATTGATTTTAGCCAATGCAATGACTTGAATTTTGAGAGAACAAGAAAACTTTTAAATTTTATAGATTTTATTCAATGGCATAGCTAGGATTTCAAGAGAGTAAGAACACTTGAAAACGTGTAGTTCCTCTTCTTCTCCCCATCTTAGGTTGCATTAACTATCATATGGGAAATCATGTAAGCTCTTTTATAAGTAGTTAATCAGCATTGCTCTACAAATTGGAATTGGTTAACTGTTTTCACAAGTTACATGTTTCGTTATTTTCTTAGCTCTCCACTTTCCTATCTCTGGATTCCTTATTTCTTCTGTACTTGCGTTAATCAATATAACTATGTTTGCAGGGGGCTGTTGGTTTGAGAATGCGGGTCTTTGACAGGGATCTATGCTTTGTCAGCTGTCATTTTGCTGCTCATTTGGAAGCAGTCAGCAAGAGGAATTCTGACTTCATTCATGTTTATCGAAATATGTCCTTCACCCGGCCTTCTGTTGAACAAAATTCTGGACCAGGTTTGCTTTCTTAAGCATTTTAGTACAAGCAATGATTTTTTCATGTTATGCTCTTTACCCGAGTAAATTCACATGTATTAAAGATCTGCATTCACACATATACTTGCTTTGCTGCAGCTGGCGCTACCCCAGTACAAGTACATCGTGGAGGGAATGTATGTTATTACCTTGGATCTTTAGCAAGTCTGTTTTCTCATGATTCCTTTCCCAGTCAATTGCTAAGATAGTATACTTTCATATATTTTTTTCGTCTCAGTCAGTAGGCTCTCAATATGACGAGAAACCTGATTTATCGGAAGCAGATATGGTGATATTTCTGGGTGATTTCAATTATAGGCTATTTGGCGTATCTTATGATGAAGCTAGAGACATGATTTCTCAAAGATGTTTTGATTGGCTAAGGGAAAAAGATCAACTTCGAGCAGAAATGAAAGCAGGCAAAATTTTTCAAGGAATGCGGGAGGCTCAAATCAAATTTCCTCCTACGTACAAATTTGAAAGGCACCAACCTGGTCTCTCGGGTAAGTAGAAACTCAATACAACATCCGATGTGCGGCTTAAATTTGTATGCTCTATATAGCTTAAATGGAAAAATCACTTACGGATAGTGGGTTACTCTACCCTTCATTCTATTTGTTGCATGAACAAATCGTTATGCATGTTGCTTTGCAGCATATGATGCTAGTGAGAAGAAGCGCATTCCTGCATGGTGTGACAGAATTTTATATCGTGATAGTCGTTCTATCTCAGTGGCTGAATGCTCGTTGGAATGCCCTGTTGTCTCTTCAATTTCACTGTAAGCCTGATGTAATCTTTTTTAGTGTAAAACTCCCTTGATATAGCTTACTGATCGGTAAAATTGACCTTCCCAGCTACGAATCATGTATGGATGTAACAGACAGTGACCACAAACCTGTTCGATGCATATTTAGTCTTGAAATTGCACATATAGACCGGATAGTATGGAGGCAAGAATTTGGAAAATTACTTGCATCGCATGAGAAGATAAGGTCTTTGGTTGAGGAATATAGCATTGTTCCAGAAACAATTGTCAGCACAAACAATATCATACTACAAAATCAGGATACTTCCATTCTTCGAATAACTAACAAATGTGACAAGCACGATGCTAGTTATGAAATCATCTGTGAAGGTCAATTTACAATGAATGATGATGGAAGTCCCTCTGAACTTTGTGCTAAAGGTTCCTTTGGCTTTCCTAATTGGCTACAGGTATGTTCTTGTGTGGCATGTTTTTTACTGCAGTGCTGGCAGCTTTACTGCTTTTATTTATTTTATTTCTTAAATTCATGCACTCTTGTTTTTATCATCTGATGCCAACTGAGTTAACGTTCATGATAGTGCCAAAGTGAGTTCTTTTGATAGTCTTGAATATCGTCAAACATCCTTCTAAGAATTTTTCACTAACCTCAGGAAGCAAATAAACTGTAGGATTTTAGGGAAGTCAATTTCACTAGATTCGGTCCAAGTGTTTGTGTAGGGATGGAAGGGTTGGAGTTGTTGTGGCCGGCTAGAACCAAAACTCGGCATTTGTTGATTTTGTTAGCCGATTTGTCATATAAATGGAAGAAAAATAATTCTGTTATCCGATTTGTCAAATATGAATCTGATTGAGATATTGATTCAAATTTTGGGTGAAAACAAGTGACATGATGACGGAGTATTCATTGGAAATTAATTTGCTCTTCTCAACCATCCCCTACCACCCAATAATCATTTCTCAACTATTAACTACTCCATTTAATTGACTAAGAGTTTATTTTTGAAGATTAAAAGGCATGCATGTGGAGTGGTTTTATAGAGAGTTTAAGGATAAAATAATAAGAAAATTTTCTTATTTGTGTGAGTAGTTCTCCAATGTAATGGGTGAGTGAGTCATGTTTAGGAGATTGTCCCTAAATGTTATCAATTAGTAAGTTGCTGTAGTTTCGGGTGAATGAATACCCACTTTATATCTCATGTAATTTTTTTCCATTGAAATAATGAAATCACTTTTCGTATCTATTTCAAATTTCACTTTATTTTCTTATGCTATGCGGGGAACACAATGGTTAAATAATTAGCTTAGTAATAAGCACCAGCAAGGGCAAGACATCATAGGTTTTCCATATGAAATGGCTTATCAGAAGTGGTGGTCTTCAGAATATCCAACTCTTGTATATAGAACTCAGATAACTTTTAATCGTTAAAGTGAAGACTATCCGTTCGTTTGTCCCAAAACGATCCAACACAATCGGTAAATCTCAATTTAGTGTGCCTTTTGACACTACCCTAAAAGATTTCCACAAGGGCGTTAGGATTATCCAAGGAGCTTAAACTTGTTTACTCCTTCCTTTCGACCAAGTATTGTTTTATGTTGCGCATTTCATGCGTCAGTATTCTGGTGAATGAATCACGTTTGGCATAGTAGGAATCTGTTACAATTTCCTCAGTTTTGGATCCGTTACTTGTGAAGATGAAGATAAACTCAACACACTTCAAAAATCTGAAGCCATGCAAAAACTGGCTAGATATTCTGAGTTCTAATGCTCCAATGCAACATGAATTTTCTATATTAGTTATTGGATCAAAGCATGAATCTCTTTTTATTCTTTTTCCCCTTACGTTTTTAATATCAGGTTGAACCTGCTGCCGGAATAATCAAGCCTGGGCAGATTATGGAAGTCACAGTTCATCATGAGGATTTCTATACCCAGGAGGAATTTGTTGATGGATTTCCACATAATTGTTGGTGTGAGGACACCAGGGATAAAGAGGTGGTGCTGCTAGTTAAAGTGACAGGCACCTATTCAACAAAGAGCAAATACCACCGGGTCAATGTGCGTCATTGCCATTCGAACAAGGACTCATTCAGTTATATGAAAGAGAGTTCCAACAGATTACAGTCAAACCAAAATCACCTACAAAGATCTGAATTTGCCAACTTTGGCAGTTCAGATGTGGTGAATTTGTATCACATTCGCAGCCCATGAGACAGTGAGGGAGCAATGCAGTGATTTTTGCAAGAATTGGAAACACATAAGTTTGAGGAATGCATCAAGTATAGAGAGTAGAGCTTTATTTTTACTTGAATTATTCTTTTATGTACATAAGCCACGCAAGCTAATCCAGGTTTCATATTCTGCATGCTTAGAGAAGAGAAACAAGTAGAAAAGATGGGGGTTTTGGAATATTTTTAGCCTTTTCCCTGTTTCTAGTGTTTTTTTTTTTTTTTTTTTTTTTTTTTTTTTTTTTTTTTTTTTTTTTTTTTTGTGGAGGGTTTTTGTTTTTGTTTTTGTTTTGTTCTGTTCTTTTTCTTTTTCCAGTTGTTTGAGACCGTTTGTGATTAGGAGGCAGCTTTTGTTAATTTGGTGTAAAGTGTATTATAGTGTATTATTGTCAGATGTGCTGTGAGATGAAAGATAACTTAACTTGTGAATTTGCGTATCCTTTTCTACTGCTGATTGAGATCACATTGTTTTTGTCCATCTATGAAATATTATGTGGTTATTCATAATGGATGATTAAGGTTTCGTTTGAGACAATTTTCTTACTATTTCTTAAAATAATTTTTTAGTACAAAAATTTTTATGTATAAAAAACTTCTTTAAAAGAATAGCAAGAATGCCCTCCCAAACAAAAACAAAGCCTAAGCCTAACATCGCATTGTTTCATGATCAAATTTTTATTGAACAATGGATGCATTGGTCTGCCTAATCAGTTTAGACCCAGCTAGGTTCAAGCAATCTATGTTGGTTGGTGCTAGCAAGGCCCATGATGACTCTATAAGCTTATTGGAGGTTATTCTTTTTTTAAGTTTTGATTGGTAAATTATTTTGGATAGAAGATTCTCTGTGCTCTAAATGTTTATACAACTCATAAATATTTCTAGTATTCCAATTTGCATATTTAGAAGTCAAATTTAGCAATTAATAATAATGCGACTCAAAATTATTAACCAAATGTGAACTTCATATTAGTGATTTGAGATTTTTCTTGGGTGTAAGTTTTTGTATGATTAACTATTCCTTCTAATCATTAGAAAAAAATTGTAATTGAGATTAGCTTACAACCCGTATACTAATTGTCATATTGTGATGGCTTTTTATATGATTCGACTTTATTATGATGTTGTCGAGAAGGAACTCTTTTCAAAATAGATGGTTAGATGGAGATTAATAAACATACACAATATCTCATAGTTCCATAATTTTAGGCATTTTAGTGTGGCTAAGGCTTCATTTAGGATGACTTTCTTTCTGCTTCTTAAAGCAGCTTTCTAATACAAAATTTTTTAATGTTGAACTAGAAAACTGCTTTAAGCAGCAGAAAGAAAGCAGTCCCTAACGAAGCCTAAGTTAAACTTTCAAACTTGAGCTCAAGGAACCAATCAAGCCCAAGCACAAGAAATAGCTCGAGCTCGATTCCACTCATTTTTCATACAAAATGCCAATGCAATCACTTATATCCACCTGCTTGAAGAGTACAATTAATGGCTTTCTTCCAAAAAACCTCTCCTATAATTCTCTGCCAGTTGAGTGAAACCCCACAAATGGAACAAATGGAACACTACAATATTATCTTAAAACCCACAAACCAATTCAGGTTATTTCAGAAAACTTAACCATCTCTAAATTAAGCTCTTGGCTTCCCTCCACACCGGGGAATAAATTCTATAAATACATCCCAATGCATCATCTGGAAAACCAATATAATTTGAAAACTCTTCACTTTTTTTTTTTCATTGTTAAAAGCTCTTTCATCTATTTACAAAACCTACCCCTAACCCTAACGGTCATAAGGGAATTCACTATCATCTTCTATCACCTTGAAGTTTTGTGGTTCATTTCCAGAGCAATGCAAATTCCACATTCTGAAGTAGGATCTCTCTAAGTTCCTCACCTGCAAAATGGACTTCGATTAGTTTATACATTTAATGCCGATTCTTTGTATGATGATGAAAATATTGGTCGCCAGATATTTTTACCCATCTTGCCGTGTCAAATAAAGGGCAAGTAAACCTTGCAGCCTTTAGTTTATTTCTGAGTGCTTGGAGCTTTGGTGGGTTCAAAGCTAAGTACACAGCCTTCTCTTCATACTCTTTCATGCTGATATAAAGAAACATGGAAGATGAAAACAACAAAAAATTACAATTATAAAAAGGAGTATTTACAAACATAACATTATAATCTCTCCATTTACAAAACGAAAACCCAAATAATTTTATTGATCTATTGAACCCATATTTCGCATGCCATGATCAAACTTCTAGAAATTTAACAAAAATGAAAAAAACACAGGTTGAGATTTTGTGATGATTTTGATATTTAAGGGAGAAATTGAAACATGGGGGGCAGATAATATTAATTTTGTTAAAAATCAAGATTTTGAAGTTAAGCATGAAATTTCCTCCAAAAAGAGAATATTTCTGAATATAACATCAAAATCTTCTCCCTGGACAAGAGTGAAATGAAGAACATTGTAATTACCTGCTAACTATCATCTCCTCTCCAACACCAGTGGCAAGACACAATGAAGCAGCAACTCTAGTGGCCATCTTCTCCAGAGGAAGAGTCACCATAGGAAGGCCAGCCCAAAGCACATCAGTGCCAGTAGTATGAGCATTGCACAGAGGCCTAAACACTCAATATATATCATTATTAGAATAATATATATATATATCATTATTAGAATGACATTAGACTGCACTTCATAATTGATTTTTAATATTCTGATGAAGTTTTTTTATAAGCTTACGTGTCAAGAAAGAGGTCAGCCAATGCACTTCGCCTGATGTGTTCATTTTTCATGGCAACATCTGTGAATATGATCTGATCTTTTGCTACCCCTTGTTTCGCAGCATCTGCAATGGAAAAAGAGATAAAGTTCTTTGTGCCAAAATATAAGTTCAACTCTCATATAACTTGCATGGTAACAGAAAATCAATCTATTTCAAGAGCATGAGCATTATTTCTTACACTCAAGTAATCTCTTCTCGCCAGCTGCTGGAAATCTAAGCAACCACAATGCACTATCAGGAACACGTTTCAAAATGTTACACCTGAAATTGGGGACAATAAATATTGGGATTTTTAAAAAAAAAAAAAAAAAATCTTCTAAAACTTAAGTGCAAAGAAAATCAGGTGCACGTGAAACAACTTGCCATGTATTGAATATTTCAGGGTCCATCTTGTATAGTTGATTAAAGCATGCAAAAAGAAATTTATCTTCAGGTAAACCATAATCTGACCGTTTGTGGCGGCACACGAGTTCAAGAACATCCCGATTTTTCTGAGTACAAATCAACAAGAGTAAAAATTGAACTCTTTCAAAGTAACAAAGAACATTGGAGAAGCTAGGAAAAATTTACCTGTTTATAATCATTAACAAAGTAGCAATGAGGAAGATGAACAAGCTTCTCAGAGTATATATGTGAAAACCATGTAGGAGAAACAAACTGCAAAGAAGATTCGAAGCATTAGCAGGAAGAAATTTTCAAGACAGAGATGTGAATTGATTACCAAGGAACAGCAAAGAGACCTCATCAGCAACCAAGTAGTCAATGTAAGGTGCACCAGTCGTTCCAGGGAATCCCATGTATGAAACCTGTATAGGTGCTGGTTGCATGGCAAAAATTTCATTCCTTGCACCCTGAAGACACTCGTATGCTTAGTACAACTAAGTTTTGACTTGCATCCCGAAAACTTTAATATTTGTTGCAAGAAGCAGGCAAAATGAATAAAATTATGCTTAGGGCAGAGCTTCTACACAGAAGTGACACCAAGTTGATTTCTGGAAATAGCAAATTCACGCAACTAATGACAGACCAAACTTTTGAAATAAATATAACGCCAGATCATGCTGTTTCCCATGCTCTTCAAGCAGGTTGTTTCTTAATAAGTTAGACGAAGAAGACCCGAAAAAGGATGGCTCAAGGCAGTCTTACTTATCATTGAAATCCAAAAACAGCTGGACTAGGCCTGACATACAAATTTTAGGATCCATGGAACTTTAATCTTCTATTTTCTACCAAGAAACTGTGTAGTTGATGTTTCATACAGCATACAATATTAAGTACTCTGTATTTACCAGCAAAATACCAATTATGCAAACAGGAGAGATAGATGCTAAGATCCCATGAGAAAGTCCCACATCTCAAGTGAAATAAGGGTTCCTAATATACTATTATTGGCCCATTTAACTTATCCATTTGGTTTGATAACTAGGAATCCACAAATGAAATGGGTTCCAGTTCCACCCTTCCTACAATCGATATTAGAGTCATTGGCTAGATTGGAATAAAATGCTTCATGCAATTTGTGGGACTCATGGGCTTTCCATTGCTTTTTAGTTTTTACAATGGCCAAGTTTTAAGGGCAAGAGATTCATATGGAAGCTCTACAAAGGATTGAAAAAGTCAGTCATTCACAACCACTGATGAAGGATTCCTCGAAAAGGCTAGTCATATTTCTCAGGGAGAGCGCCTAGTTGTAGCCTTTGTTGTGCTTGCCAGAATTTATAGAGTCTTGAAGATTATCTCAGATTCTAGTTCTTTGGAGTTTCGAGGTTTGACACTACCTTGACAAGGATAAAGTTAGTTTTCAATGACCTCGAGATAGCTGCCTGACGAGAAGAAAGGACACCCGGTACAATCTTTCTTTGGGAAGTGACTTTCCCCACCAGGTGTCGATTTAGTCACGTTTTTTAGTACTCGGGATGAAGTGAAGTACACCATCGGCCTCATGGCGTAGCATTTCAGGGTATAACAGGTAAAATCTCACTTGTAAAGCTCTTTCGTCGAAATGGGCACTTGATCCATAAGATTTAATAGTGTTAGAAAAAAAAAGTTTCTTTGAGTGGAAAAGATGGTCAATGGAATAAGAAATATGTTCCTTCATGTAAAACCCGAAAACGGCGATGTAAGTCGTCGCATGCTTTTCGATGCATCGCGACGAAACTTAAGTGAAATTTTCGAAGTTAACGAAATTTGATGGAAATAATTTTATAAAATTCTACGTAAAATTCTGATCGTTTTAATATATAGAACCTAAATTTAATTATGTGTATTTTGGGATTTATAAAATTCGGAATATTAAAAATGACGACTATACCCCTAACCATTTAAAAGCCCAAATTTACTTAAGTGAGGGAAAAATGGACTTTTGGCAAACCCCCTCTTCTCCCTAAATGAGCAAACCGAAACCCCTCTTCCCCATTTCGCGTGAATAGGCCAAAACCGAGAGAAAGGGGCGGACGGGCAGACGGCATAGGGGCGACAGGGGTGGCTCCGGCGGCGTTTTTCTGGAGAAAATTTTAGGGGAAATCGAAGAGGTCAAGGGAAGAAAAAGGTATATTTTAGAATTTTATTTCCTCTAGTAAATCTCAATTTTATTTGAGAACACAATTTCTAGGGTTTTATAGAATTTCGATTTTCTTTCGAAATCTGTTTATAAAATTTTTCAGAAATGATTAGAGGAACATTTTAACGGTAATATCAAAGATTTTAGAAATATATATATATTAATCTAGTAGAATATTAAGCTCAACTTGGGCCCTTTGTATTCCAACATCATAATAAAAGTAAAAGGAAAAAAGAATACAAAAGAAACGTACACTCACTCTCCATAATGTTCTCTCTAATATATCTCTATTTTTTCTTTTATTCGTATTTGAGTAATGTCGGACTAGTGATTGTGGGTAATCTTGGCTACTAACTTCAAAGCTATGATGCACAAACATAGACACGATGACACAAATACAACACTGACACATCAATTACTAAAAATATAAGATACGGATATGGGTTAGACACGGTATTATAATTTTATATTTCAAAAAAAGTTTATAAAAATTGAATAAGTATAATATTGAAAATAATTTAGAAATAATATGTCATTTAACTAGAATTTGTGTTTAAAATGATTACTTGTTATATAATATCCTAATAAAGTATCGACCAAATGCTTCAGCCTTCAGGAGAAAAATCCATATAGCGAAATCAAGCCATTCATAGGGCATCTAGTTGATGTGGCATGCTTAGTTATAGATTTACCTTATCCTGTGGCTAAAATTTTCCTTATAAGCTTATAAATAGCAAGAGATGGAGAATTGGGCTGAATTTTGAGGTTAAAAAATTTATGGAAACATGCAATTTAGGATTCAAAACATGTGTTCAAATGATTTTTTTTACACTTGCAATCAATCTCATCCCTTTCTTTCAACCTCTTCCCCTCTAATCTCCTGAAATAATTAAATATCAATCTCCAACAACAACAACAATTTCAAACATTTATCTCACTACGTGGGGTCGGCTAAATGAATAATTTTTTATCTATTGTATCCTATTAAAAGTCAAATTCTCATTTAAATCTAATAAAAAATAGTATTTCTACTATTTTTCTAACCAAGTCTTTTTAGGTTTACCTCTATTTTTCTTGGCATAGGCCAAATCTAACACATCTACTCTTTTATAACCGATTCATCGGAAGGCCGACGTTTTATGTGACCAAATCATCTAAGGCAACTCTTTCCAATCTTATCTCGCATGGAGCTACTCCAACTTTTGCATGTACATACTCATTTCAATTTCTATCTCTAAGAGTGAAGTCACTCATCCACCTGAGCATCCTCAACTCTACAACATATAATTTAATTTTATGCTTCACTTTTAATTGCCAACATTTTGTGCCTTAAAGCACTGCAAGTCTCACCATCATCCTATAGAATTTTCGCTTAAGTTTGAGAGGGTAGTTTTCTGTCACACAATAGGCCAAATGCATTCCTCCACTTCAGCCATCCAACTTTAATTCTACTAATAATATCCTCATCTATTTCACCATCACATTGAATAATAGACCCGAGATATCTAAATGCGTACTCCTTTTAATAACTTGATTGCTCAAAGTCACAATCCCTCACTAGATCTATTGTTACTAAAATTACACTTTATTCGATTTTAGATCTACTCAAACAAAAACCTTTAGACTCTAACGTTGACCTCCATAATTCAAGTTTATCTTCAACTCACTCCCTAGTCTTATCAACAAAAAGAATATCATAAGCAAAAATCATACACTAGGGAACAACCTCTTGCAAATGTCTAGTAAGAACATCCATGACTAAAGCAAAAAGATATGAGTTTAAAGCTGATCCTTAATGTACAATCAATGCACACTTGCAAGTGCTACAACTCCATGTTATGAATTATAGTCTACCATTATGTACTCTTAGCTGTTTTTATCGAAACACAAAATGTATTTGTGTTTCAAGAAGGGAAAGGAAGAAAGTTAGAGATTGAGTAGGGTTTACATTACAGCTAACTGTCCATCATAAGAGGTCATTTATAGCCCTGGCTCTCTATCTGCATCCTCAAGGACTAAACCCACCTCAATCCTTTCGAAATCTTCTTCATTTAATGTCTCAAACTCAAGCTGTACAAATTTATGATAATTATTATTTCTCCTTCAATAAATAAAGTTATCGGCATGGAGCTTTCTCCTCGCACCAGAGATAGAGCGGGGAAAGCAGTGCCACCCCAACATATCCCCAAGATAATTGAAAAAGGGTTGCCAAGGGATCTATGTCCTTTAGGTGGAAGTGATCCCATTCCTGGAGTCCGTATGGCTCATTGATGGGGAAAAGCGGGAACAAAAAGGGAAAAAGGTCAAAAGACTTGCATAAGTTTTAGTGAAAGACAAGCAAAATCAAACCTAAGAAAGAACTAAATTAAAGATTGAATATCAAGAAAAAGAGGACAGGAAGAAATAAAAATTTTTTAGTTATTTACCTCTTCATTGGGGTAATGCTTTTTTTTTTTAATAACAAATTAAATAAAATAATTAATTGGGGGTAATGCCTATCCTACTAGAATATTTTCTATTAGGGCCAACAGGTCTTTGTGAAGAGAAGATGAAGATTCTAGTCTTCCACATGCTCATTTTCAAGTTCTCGATCAATAAGAGGAGTTTACTGGACCATATAGAGGCAAGAATGTACAGGGAGAGGCACAATAATAGCACGTAAGGTTAAGGGAAATGAAAATTGGGGCGAATAAGCTTTCTCTTAAGCTTCGTTGATATATAAAGCCATTCAAAATTAAGGGCCCTATCTAGGCTGCTAACTTCAAGGTCATCACAACCATGGAGACAAATAAGCTTTACTCTTAAACTACTTTGATACCCCACAACAGCTGCCTGACCTAGCATAGTTATCAAAGCAGCTTAACTTGTGATTAAAAGATTCCTTGTATGCTTACAAATAGAGCTCAGTAGAGGGAAAAAGTGAAGTTTCGTTTATGCTTATAAATATGGTCAAGGGAGAGAGAGAATCAAATTCAATGATCAAAATTCTATTAAAAAGAATCTTTAAGATTCAGATCAAGAGTCTAAGTCCTCTACCTACTTTCTAGAAACCCACATGACCTCATCATCCCTCTCTTTCTAGCATTCCCCTTGATCTCCTCAAGTAATTTTGATCATCACCCATGATTCAATATTTTTAGATGTCAACAATGACCCAAAGTATTAAGCCTTCTTGAGCAAAGATATTTTACCAAAAAGAAAGCATATTAAGCAATAAAAAAGGGAAAAGTATCATGCCAACCAAAAGATATGGATATTGCAGGACAAAACTCATAAGATGTATAGAAAATTCTTATTACAATATTGGTAACAAGTTTGTTAAATCTCAATACCTTAAAACGCCAAAATCATAGCAAATGTTCAAAACAAATCTTTTCCATGATGCCTTCAACTAAATTTGCTTAAACTAAAATTTGGCGCTCAGACATTCACTTCCAATCCCTTCATAATGGCTTAAACTAAAATTTGATGCCATTATCAACCCAACCACCAGGTCTCAAAAATCATAGCAAATGTTTAGAACAAGTTTTTGCATTCCAAAAAACGTAATTTTTAACAGGCCATTGCTCCAGTCACTCCAGGGGTCATTACATCCTCAATGGTTCAAGGCACACGCTATTTACTTATGCATGCATAGTTGATTGCACAAAACCTTGCCATTATAACTGTCCACTACTCATCACAAAGAAACAATATTTAGATCGTATCCTACATGAAGGTGTTGTAGCTACATTAGCAGCAGATTATCCTGCGGCTACAAGCATCATACATTGCACAGTGTCATATCTTACCGGTTAAAACCATGGATTATATATGCCAAAGGGCTATTTTAGAAAACAACAGCTGAATAACTACAATTGAGCTATTTAGCCTAAATACTAATAGCATATTTATGAAATATTCATATAGCATTCTATCTCCAGTAGTGTCCTGCTGGATACGTACATAATCCTTACGGTTTGGAGGTAGAGCTTCGGAAGGCGTGGCTTTATAAAGAAAACAATAGGAAGTGATGTAATTTTCTGCAGGTTGCAAAAGCACTAAGCATTTTTCCTTGGATACTTCTAGCTATTAATTTCAGCTCAAAAATGATTATCAGAAGGCTTGATGCTTATGATGCAAACTATCATAGCTAAGCATCTATGTAGATATACAAATGAAGTTATTAACCCTGGAGAGGTTTTACAAAACCCCAAATTCATTGTACACTACAAAACTTACTAACAGATTGAGAAAAAGAATAAGATGTTATTGACTCTGACAAAAAAAAACATTGTGACCATACCTTGGTATATCCATTAAGGTTAATTAGAATCTGAATCTTATCTTCATTGATCACTCTGGCAATCACGTCAGAAGTCATGGAAGAAACATCAATAAAATGTTCAGCTTCAGCCATGATCCGTTGTCTCCATTCAGTGCCATCATTTTGACTCAAGGCATAGCAGAAGACCTGCATAATCAGCATGTTTCAATCTACACGATGCTCATGAAATCAAGGGGGTAGGGAAGCAGCATCAATAGAACCTCAACGTTCTCCCGATTATGCATTCCAAACACAGAACCCATCAGATGGGACAAAGGATGGTTACCAAAGTCACTGCTGACATATCTAAAGCCAAAAGAATATCGTGCATTAAGCAAAGCCTCTAAAGGATTACTAAAAAGACTACTAAGCTATACATACCCCACCCTGAGACGGCCAGCTCCCCCTTTAGCCTTCACAGGTACAGGTGCAGGATGAGTAAATGGTGGAAGTCCATAACGCGAAGCAATCAATAAGCATTGTGCCGCATACTTTTGGCTAAACGAAGAAAAAGAAAGTAACATTTGAGTTCCTAAGTTGAATACAGCATTGGAAGAATGACTGAAATTTGAGAGAGGTAACCTATAAAAGAAATAAAGAACAAATTAACAAAAAAATACCTTATTTCTAATGCAAGAGTAGGGTCAATAGGATAAGCAATAGCATGAAATGGTTGGACGCTTGGAAGAAGGCCCATCTGAAACAAAGCTCAGGAAAGACCACAATAAAATTCATCAATAAATGAAAATATTAGGTATTAAAAATAAATTTATGGATAATGGGTCAACACCTTGATCTGTCTTTTAATAATTCCCTCCACTTCAGTAAACTTGTCATCCCGATCCACCCAATCACAGACGCACTGCAAAGATATATTGAAGCAGATTCAATACTAAAGAAATGACCATTCAAAAGAAAAAATAGCCTGTATACTGGAAACAAACATGTTACCTGTAAGGTGTGTAACAGATTGCAAGTGGCCTCAGGAAAATCAGGACGGAGAAGTAATGCTTGCCTGTAGCAAGTTATGGCAAGATCCACATGTCCGCTGCACGTCATAAGGTTCCAAAAGGAACCAAAAGGACCCAGCATGCAAATAAATCTTAGATTCAAAATAATGTCCAATAGCGGTGAAGAAAAATGAAATTCATTACCTATCCTTGTATGCAGAAGCCAAGTTTGCATGAGCTTCAGCCATATTTGGCCTGATAGAAACAGCTCGTGCATAATCTTGAATCGCTTCACTGACCCGTCCAATCTCCTTAAATGTATTTCCTCTATTGACAAGGCCATCAGCTGCCAAAGGATCTATACGAAGAACCTCATTGTAACATGCTATAGCATCAGTATAGTTTCCCTATCAGTACAACAATAAAATCCATTTAAAAACTTTAAACTAAGTTGCTGGCATAATATTACGCTGAATCAACCCAGTGGAAATTTAAATAAAAATATATAAACAAAATTCATTAATGGAAAAATGATTGCATGAAGATGAAGTATCTCGATAGCAGTAAAAACCTGTTGTTTGTAAATTACGGCAAGATTGCTGAATGGGGCGGATAATCCCGTCGTCACAGATAAAGTTGCTTTGTAAAAAGTGGCAGCAGCATTTAGCATATTACTGCATTGGCAAGCAACTCTTAATATGCACTGTCAGCTGATACAAAAGGAATAAATTCTACTGATGATAAAAAAGTTTACCATTCCATATATATGTTTCCAAGGTTGGTAAGGGCCTGTGGGTGGTTAGGTTGCAAAGCAAGGCAAGACTTTACAAAGACATGAGAGCAACAATGTCAGATGGAAAGTTCAACATGTTAAAAGAACCATAAAACAAAAAAGAAAGATGATTACCCTATAGCAATTCATAGCATCATCCACTCTGCCAACATCTTTTAAAGCATTTCCCTTTCAATAACATTATAAAGTCAAAATAATTACATTGGTGGAAGGACAACAGAGTGAAAGATGAAGCTTAATTGTAGAGATTGAAAAACAAACCAAATTATTATATGCTTCCACAAATCCTGAATCAGAAGCAATGGCTTGTTTGTAATGAAGAATTGCCAAATCCAGCTGGCCTTGTTCATAATATGTGCTAGCAAGGTTTCCTGCACCAAATGATACCATTCCATAGTTCATTGCAAAATCAGGCAGCATCATTTAAGGCTTCTTCCAGTTAAAGCATAAGTGATGGCACCATAACTTTAACAAGCTGTTTTTTATACTAGATCGCAGTAAATCATCATAGCCTCGTCAGCAGTAAGCAAGTATGAATAAATAGTTACACAACAATCTGCACATATGCTTATTTAACACGAGGTTTTGACGTTTGGTTTTATTTTGTTCCATTTTCATTAAAATTTTGTTCTGATTTATTTTTTCCACTTAAAACAAAATATTTGAGGATGCTACTTATAATCTGATGGTAGAAATAAAAACAGAAGACATGTTTAGCGACCAAAATAAAAACATAATCATTGTAAATGCAGTTATTATTATAGAGTATATTTAATTCATAATTAATTCATCTAAATATTCATTATAATAATTAAGTCCTATTTAAAAATAAATTACTTTAAGTTTCCATCATAACCACTAATTAATTAGTAACACGTTAGGTTAACTAATATTATAATTACATAATACAATTAATCAAACAAAAATAATTTAATATTATAATCAAACTAGCTTAATAATGATAAACAAGCAGTCCAGCACAATCAAATTTTAATGAACTAAGGTAAAATAATAATTAATTCAAAATTGAATATAATAAATGATTAATTAATAAATACTAATAGTAACTAATTGAAAATTTATTTATCCCATGCTTAATTAAAATGATTAAATACAAATAAAACCTTATTTTTCTTAATATACCCAAATTAATTAGCCAAGTACTATTAAAGTTTTATTGATCTCAAGTAAAATACTAATTAATAAATAATTATTAATTACTAAAGTAATTAATTGACTCCCATGCTTAGTTACAATAATTAATTTCTAATAAAATCTTTTTTTTCTTAATAAACCCGAATTAAACCCCAACTAGCCTAAGTAAATACTTAATTAACGATTGCTCTAGACAAACATGAGTTGATTAATTACCATAGACCTAATTGCCATAATTAATACTACTAAATATTAATTATCTTTAGAAAAACTTAAATAAACATTAATTTTCCTAAACTACTCATTCATTAGTATTATTCAAATTAATTTCCATCTCGCAATAATAACCTAATGCTTTTAATTAAATATAATTAATCTGAAATAGGTCTAAGCATCTAATTACCATCTGGCTATTTTGTACAATAATTTACTTTTGTGGAAATAATTATTGTAAATCAAAATATAATAAAGAATTAATCAACTTAATTACAAAACAAATTAATCTTATTTACTTTAATATATTGTTAATAATAAATTATTTAATTAAATAGTAACTTACTTATTCTAAGTCTAACACTATGATTGAACACTAATAAACTTTAATGATGTAAACTTACTCCCCAATTAGCCAATTAATCTCTAATTATCTTAATTAGTCAAATTAAGCAAACCTTTCTGTTTCCAAAAACAAAAAGTAATAACATGGCCATCAAACATGTTTTCTTTACACAAATGCCTGCTTTTGAAAACAATAAATATAAAAACAAAAGTAAATCCAAACATGGCCTAACTTTAACAAATTTAATCGCACTTAAACTAGGAAACGTTTAAATAGACGTGATAACAAGAAAAACAAACTAAAATATCAGTGACAAGTAATTCAACCAATCTACTAAAAAAGACCAGTGTGAAAGATGCTAAAAAATACAAAATTAGGCAGCGCATTCCTCACCATAGGCCATTGCATAGTTTGGACGTGATTGTAGTGCCCGTTGATAGCACATGATAGCCTCCTGTGGCATTCCCAAAGCCTGGAAAAGCGAAAAAAATCCTCCAGAAACCAACCCGGGAAGTTGCTTTGCCGTGAAGGTAATGCTGCAATATATGAAGCCTTACCTTGTAAATATTTCCTTGATTAAGGTAGGCATCGCCAAGTGCTGGTTTCAGTTTGATTGCTTCCTGGAAATGAAATACAATTTATACACTTTTACAACACAACACAGACAAAACTAGACAAGCAGAAAATGAATTGAACTTGCATGCCACCTATATGCTCAACGTGCATGAATTTTTCATCGCCATTCAATCTTTTAAGTGCTACACGTTGCACTAACCAACACTTATCTAAAACTTTCCAGACAAATACTACACATGTTATATTTGAACTGCCCATTTTCCTTCCAATTCCTTTCAAATCAATCCTAACTAACCCCCGTTGTTGGTGATTTTTAGCTTTCCAATGTCAATGTCCATAATATTGTCTTTTCTAACCCACAACACTTTTCATCTATGCGCACTAAATTAATTATCATATACTCTATCATATGTTTAGGATTTAAACTTTGGTATTCGGGTAGGAGTCGTACTAGAAATGGTGTAGGTGTTATTATAGATAAGAGTTTAAAGGATAATGTTATAAAAATTAATAGGATTGGAGATAGAATTATAGCTTTAAAGATTGTTGTTGATGATAAGATTGTTAATATTATAAGTGCTTATGCTCCTCAAGTAAGTTTGGATATGAGTTCTAAATTAAATTTTTGGAATGACTTAGAAGAATTAATACAAAATATACCTCTTGAAGAAAGAGTTTTTATTGGAGGAGATTTAAATGGACATGTTGGTAGAGAGGTAGATGATTTAAGTTAATGTGTCATACTTTAAAACTATGGGAGCGAGTTTTGGAGCATAGGTTGCGGCGTGATACTAATGTTTCTCAAAATCAATTTGGATTTATGCCGGGTAGGTCGACTATGGAAGCCATACATTTATTAAGAGGTTTGATGGAGAAATATAGAGAAAATAAGGATGATCTACATATGATATTTATTGATTTAGAAAAAGCATATGATAAAGTTTCAAGAGAAGTGCTATGGAGAGTTCTATATAAGAAAGGGGTTAATAATGCTTATATTCAAATCATTAAAGATATGTATGCATGAGCTATTACTTGTGTTCAAACACAAGGCGGATTGACCAAGTATTTTCCTATTTCGGTTGGGTTACATCAAGGATCAGCCTTAAGCCCATATCTTTTTGCTTTAGTCATGGATGTTCTCACTAGACATTTGCAAGATGATGTACCTTGGTGTATGCTTTTTGTTGATGATATTCTTCTTGTTGATAAGACTAGAGAGGGAGTTGAAGGTAAACTTTAATTATGGAGGTCAACCTTAGAGTCTAAAGGTTTTCGCTTGAGTAGATCTAAAACGGAATATATGGAGTGTAATTTTAGTAGTAATAGACCTAGTGAGGGGATTGTGACTTTGGGCGATCAAGTCATTAATAAGAGTACACGTTTTAGATATCTTGGATCTATTATTCAGAGTGATGGTGAAATAGATTGGGATATTATCAGCAGAATTCAAGTTGGATGGTTGAAGTGGATGAATGCATCGGGCTTGTTATGTGATAGAAATGTACCCCTCAAACTTAAGGGAAAATTCTATAAGATGGTAGTGAGGCCTGCAATGTTTTATGGTGCCGAATGTTGGCCTTTAAAAGAGAAGCATAATACTAAGTTAAGTGTGGCAGAGATGAGGATGCTCAGGTGGATGAGTGGCTTTACCCTTAGAGATAGGATACGAAATGAGCATATACGTGAAAAGGTTGGAGTAGCTCCAGTAGAAGATAAGATTAGAGAAAGTCGCCTTAGATGGTTTGGTCACATAAAACGGCGGCCTTGCGATGACCCGGTTAGGAGAGTAGAGGTATTAGATTTGACTTATGTTAAGAAAGGTAGGGGTAGACCTAAAAAGACTTGGTTAGAAAATATTAGGAATGACCTTTCTTTATTAGATTTAAACGAGAATTTGACTTTTAATAGGACACAATGGAGAAAAAGGATTCATGTAGCCGACCCCACGTAGTGGGATAAAGGCTTGATGTTGTTGTTGTTGTATACTCTATCATATGTCTTCTAAATATGAATGAAAACCATATGAAGATCCTTCTCCATCCCTTTGCTGTAATAATTATGTTATGCATAAAATTAAAGAAGAGATAAATGCCTTGTCAAATTCCTGTGACCATCCATCACAAAATTTGATAAAAGGTCATGATAGTTATGCAAATAGAAAATTGTTTGGCATAAGTGAAGCAAACATAACTTATTTGAAAAATTAGCGGAAGTTGTTGAATGGCATGGCTATCACAATTTTAGCAATAACAGAGATGCAAGAAAGAGTTTCTCATAGTAACCCAAAAAAAAATGGAAGACTTAATAGTTCATAGATATGCATTATGCTAAAATCATGTTAGATAATAAAGAAAAAAAGTCTATTAATTTGCATTTACACTGTATAACTTCGTAGTGCAATAGGGGCAGTAGGGAGTTTCCTGTAACAAAATGGAATAAAAGTAGACCTTGACAGCAAGCCATTAGAAATAGCTACTATAGAGAAAAAAGAAAAAAGTTCAAATAGTTATTGGCTAAAAGCAGGCGATTATTCAGTAAATACCCTATAAATATGCGTAACTTTGGAACATTTGCACCATAAATTTTGCAGTCAAAGAAGAAACTTATAAGTGGTTGTGCTGATTAAGTTGGATACTTTATGGAGAATACATTGTATTTGGAAAACGTACCACTATGCCAAGTACACTAAACATCATATAACCAACAGGTTCACAAGATATTTGGACAAAGTTATATATATATATATATACTATCTGATATGTAAATGTGTAGATTAAACCTGGTCGAAATGATAGTTCAATGTTTTCCTAATAGATTAGAATAAAGGAAAAGGTAAAATTACATACAATTAAAATGGTTCATAAGCTTTGAATCTATAAATAGTCTACAATCACAGTTCACAATAATTGCTAGAAGTTAGACACAAGTAATAAGGCATTGAAACAGCAATAGAAATGTAGTAGAAATTTAATTTATAGGTATACCTCCACACACACACACACACACACACACACACACGAGAATAACATCACAAGTATTAAACATCTTGCAAGCTGCAGAAAGCTTTACATAGCTTTAAACTTTAAGAGACATTTTCTGTGCAATAAGAAGGAAATCGTAAGGGATATTTCTGTTACAAATAACTTTACTGCATACATCCAAAAATTATTACCATGGAAATACTGTGCATAACACCATGAAAATATAAATAAAAAAAAAAATCAATATTTAAATCAGAGCAACTTAAATTTTAACTAATTGGCATATATTGCAATCTCAAATAAAGGTTAACATAGGAAAAGAAAATAGGGAAGTAGGGGCGAGGGAGTGCAGACCTAAAAGGAAGAGAACTTAAACCAATTTAACTATAAAACTTAGAACTCCATTCAAGGAGTTATGACGCTACAGAAATACTACAATAGATTAGGAAAGAAAATTCTTAGCCCCGTATCATGACCCAAATGGACAACAAATCCAATAATTTTTCTGTAAATTTGTAATCACTGTTTTTGAAAGAGTGAAGCAAATATAAAAGAAAGAGTCTAAAACAAGGTATACAGGCAATCACAAACTTAGCCTTTACCTTATAGTATAAAAGGGCTCTGTGAAGATCTCCCGCATCCATAAAAAGACCAGCAAGATTGGACCAAGCAACAGCAAAAGTAGGCTGGATACGCAATGCCTCTAGATAGCAATTATATGCCTTCGTGACAAAATGGAATAAATCAGACGTAAAGTAGCTTCAGACAACATAGCATAATTAGATAGTAATGCAAACTTCCTATTTAGTGTAAGACCCTTCAACTGATTGAAGAGTAGCAATACTATCAAGTAAAAAAAGATAAGCTAGAGGTCCCTGAAGTTTAGGATCACAATATCACTTCCTTATAAATTAACAAGCATCCATTTCACTTGAAGGTCCCTATCCCAAATAAATTAGGTCTTCCATATAGGTCAATTAGGATAGTTGTTAACTATAATTTGTAGAACACACAGCACTTAACTGTCAACATAGCATTATAAAATTATTTCACCAACAATAACACTATGGATGGCAGAATGAAGTGGAGTTGGCATTTACCAATGTGAACTTTTCAGCTGGGACTAAAATCATAACATTTCATAACTCAAGAATCAAAAAACAGAAAAATAAAATAAAATAAAATAAAAAAGTTACGAGCTATCAGAGAAAACAGGAAGTTTGTGGGCTAGTAAGAAAAGTAACTAACAATTTATATAACAACTCAGACACAAGAGAAAAGCATGATCACCAATACAGATACTAACCAAGATAAAAATGCATTGAAAATTCAATCTCAAAGACATTACTAAATCTACCTCTTGAATCAACCCTTGTGCTTTCATGAGATTCCCAAGGTTGCAATGAGCATCAACCTAATTTGCAATTTTCATAAAAGGATATCAGAAACTATAACATAATTTGATATAAAAAGAAGGGCAAAAACAAAGAAGATTTCTAAATGTATTCACCAAGCGAGGATTCAATGAAAGAGCTTGGCGACAACACTGAGCTGCCTCATGAAGCCTCCCCTTCCGAATATATGCACTTGCTAAATTTGACCAAGCATCAGCAAAGTTTGGCCGTAGCTAACAAGAACAAAGATCCAGCATTAGATGAAGAGAACAACCATCAAAATAGTTCAAGAAATGCAAGCAAGTATAGCCTATAATAGTAATATCCATAGAACTAACAAATATGTCTCTGCAAAGGAGTTAAGTCAATCATGTCTGTAATTATTGCAGAAAAAAATCCTTTGTTCCTCTGCAAAGGAAAAGGCTGATGATTTCAATGTGTTCTCAAAATTATGAAGTTTCCATTTCTTTATGGAAATTTCCATTTTTTTATTACAGAAAACAAACATGCTGCTTCTACAATGAATTTTAATACCAAAATAAATGAGGACAAGCAGAAACATGATTGTTGCATAAACGTCCATAATAAAAACAGGTAAATTTTCAGTTAAGGGAACCATAAAATATATGACAACAAATCTAACAATAAATAAAGCAGGCGAAAACAACACAAGAACAAGAGATTTCTCCGTCTAGGCTACAACAACTACATAATATCGCATTCACTGATTTGATATCAGTTGGACTTCTTAGATCCATAAGAAACAGCAAATCAAACATGAAAGTTAAAAACTGCACAGGGTACTAACAAATGAAGATGAATTCTTATAGTTTTAATTCTGTCAGATAAATCTCTTAAGATAAAGAGCACTGAAGATGGAGCAATGTCGAAAGAATAGCTGGGTAACACCAAAGAGAATATATATCAACCATTTGCATTCCAATCTCAAAAAATTATACATGTCAATAATTATAACATAGACGTACCTCAAGAGCCACCTGGTAATAATGTATGGCAAGATCAATATTGCCTTTTTCCTGCACCAAACCATAAATGCCTTCTTAGAAAAATGTATGCAAATAAATACATAGCATCCACAAGAAGGCCAGAACAATGCTCTCTGGAATATAAGTGCATAAATTTCTCAAACCAAGTAATTCTTCAGAGTGCATCAAGTACTTAAAAAAATTATATCTGCCCCTAATTCTGTAAATTTCTCATATCCACTGCTCAATTGAAGTTTGTTGAAAATTTACCTTCCAAGCATTAGCCATGTTGCCGTAGCATTCAGGAAAATGTGGGTCAATAGCAAGAGCTTCCTCATTCCTTGCAATGCACATGTCATAGTCATGCAACTGAAAATAAACGCATGGTGGTATCTCATGTTGGGAAGAAGAAGAATGAAAAGAAAAATAAGTTGAAAACGATGCCAAAAAGCGGCAGAATTAACATGGAACGACGGGATGAAGCGATAGAAGATCACAAAATCAATTCATACACTACCAAGATTAAGCAACATAGGCAACAAAGATAACACTACAAACCTGATAATATATAGCACCAAGCAGCAGAAGAATGTCCGTGCGTTGTGGATACTTCCCGTAGATCACGCTGCAGTGCTCTAGCGCCTGCTTAAATTTCCCGGCTTTATAATTCTGATGGGCAAGCGCTTGGTGCATGTCATCATCGACCACACCTTTAACAAATGAAAAGCAACAGCATTATAAAGTCAGACGAGGAAATTAGCATTTCCAGAAAGAAAACAAACTGATTTAACACGAGATCTGACAAGAGGCATCTTCACCACAAAAGCCCTAGCGATGGTCAAACACCAATTCCCGATCACGAAACAAATTTTTTTAAAAAAAAAAAAAAGAAAAATAACAAACCATCCAGCTGATTGACGAGTTGCAAAGGTTTGATATCGTTGTAGACATCAATCGGCTGAAGGGTAAGCACGGGATCCTCCAGTCGATCGCCTCCGCTACCAAACATGCTACGGGTAAACCCTAGGCTAGCAGACCCGGAGGCGCCAGCGCTTGATCCAATAACCTGTTGCACCTTCCCCAACGACAACGCCGGCGCCGATGGCTGCTGCCGCGTGTCGGTCTGCAGTGACAACATCATCCCAGCGAATGAAGAGGGGGATCACCGTAGATAGGCCAAACACAGCACGCCAGAACCCCTATGCTATCTCAAAAGGGGCGGACGCGACGCCGTAGGTTGTGACGGAAGGGACTCTAAGGTTTCTCTCTGCTGATCTTCATCGTCTTCGATCTAGTCTGCCCTCAGAGCTCTTAAAGGCATCATGAAGGAAGAGTGGTCCGAAAAATTCTACCGATCTCGGGAGGGCGGAGTGCCAGCTGTCCATTATGACTGCCTGTTCTTAATTTTAACCGTAGGATTTAAGGTAGAACTAATCGAATGGCTGGAAAAATATTATTTAAGTTGAACTTTGTTTTTTATTTAATTATGGCATAAGTTCAACTTACAACTTTAATTAATTTATTTTTTATCTAAAGTTTACCAAAACTATATTTATAATTTGTTTATTAAATATAAAAATTTTGAATGTTAGTAATAAATTTTAAAGATATTTCAGCCCGTTAAATTTTAATTTTGGGAAAAAAAAATAAACTTAAAATATATTTATATGAAATGTGATGACTAATTGATTCATATCAAAGATATAACAATTGTGAAAATTGTTAATTCACTTAAAATTATGACTAATATTAGATATCATAATTTTTAAAGAAAACTATGATAAAAATGCATCAAAAGATCATAGCTTATATATATATATGAAGACTTGGAGCTTATTTGAAGTAATTGTAGTTGCAAGTAAAAATTAATTATAAAATAATTGAGATGAAATTATTATTTTTAAAGAAAATTTTAAGTTGTACTTCCTTTAATGTACAGAATTAAAGAAATATGCTTGATATTTCATTTATTGAAAAAAAAATGTCTAATAATTTATTTTGGGCCAAAATACCCCTTTGTACTTATATCTGGCTGCATAAGCAGAACAACATCTCACCCTTCCTTTTTTTTTGGGAAAAATTAAGGACTAAGCTTGTTGCGTCATGGAGTATTCGCGGCGGTAGAGAATTATAAAGTTTAACGTCTTGGCATTGTACGAAGATCCAGCACACAATCAGATAAGTGAGAGGGTGTAGCGTTCATAATAGACACCATAATTTTTACGTGGAAAACCCTTAAAAAAAGGGAAAAAAAAAACCACGGGGCCTGGCCCAGTTTGAATGAATCCACTAGTATTTGCAGTCGATTACAAATGAGGCCCTTCCTTGGGAGAAGACCTTGGATCGATGTAATAAATGTACATCATATAAAGTGCATTACATAGTGGGAGTTACATATACATGTTTGTTTGGTCGGAATGGCCGTAGTCGGTAAGAGAACAGAGTCAGAAAGACCGTTGTCTAGTGATGGAGGTTGGAAGAACCGTAGTAGGTGACGAAAGTCTGAAGGACCGTAGTCGGCAGGAGTCTGAAAGACCGTTGTTGGCATGAGACCGGGGTTTGAAAGACCGTTGTCTGGTGATAAAGGTTGGAGTAACCATAGTAGGTGACGGAGGTCGGGAGGATCGTAGTCGGTAGGAGACCGGGGTTTGAAAGACCGTTATCTAATGATGGAAATCAGATTGACCATAATAGGCGACGGAGGTCGGGAGGATCGTAGTCGGTAGGAGACCGGAGTTTGAAAGACCGTTGTTGGCATGAGACCGGGGTCTGAAAGACATTTGTTGGCATGAGACCGGGGTCTGAAAGACCATAGTCTGGTGATGGAGGTCGGAAGGACCATAATAGACGACGAATGCCTGAATGACCGTAGTCGGTAGGAGACTGGAAGACCGTTGTTGGCATGAGACCGGGGTCTGAAAAACCGTTGTCTAATGATGGAGATCGGATTGACCATAATAGGCGACGGAGGTCGGGAGGACCGTAGTCGGTAGGAGACCGGGGTTTGGAAGACCATAGTAGGAGGGCGATACTTCTATAGAAGTTCGGGTGTCAGGTGGTGGCCTAGTGGAGCTCAGGATCATTAGTGGTGGTCCGGAGGAAGTCCAGACCTCAAGTGGTGGTCCGGCAGAGTCTGGGCTTCAAGTGGTTGTCTGGTGGAAGTACGGGCCTTAGGTCATTGCCTAGTGGAGCGCAGTGCCTTAAGTGGTGGTCCGGGGGAGCAACGGTGTCAGGCGGTGGTCCGGAGGAGGTGAGGGCCTCAAGTGGTGGTCCGGCGGAGCAACGGCGTCAAGCAGTGGTCCAGCGGAGGTGAGGGCCTCAAGTGGTGGTACGGCGGACCAACGGCATCAGGCGATGGTCCGGCAGAGGTGAGGACCTCAAGTGGTGGTCCAGCGGAGCAACGGCGTCAGGCGGAGGTCCGGTGGAGCAACGGCGTCAGGCGGTGGTCCGGCGGAGGTGAGGGTCTCAAGTGGTGGTCCGACGGAGCAACGGCGCCAGGCGGTGGTTCGGCTGAAGTCCGGCGGTGGTCGAGGAGGCAAGGAAGCAAGAGCGATCTCTGATCTCTCTCTCTTTTCCTTAGGCTTCCCTCCACCTTTAATAAGGAGAGGGAGCTCTATTTATAGATTTCTGGAGTGGCATTCCCCGTAAATAGGTGAGAGATCAAGGGTAAATGGGGAGTGGTTGGATGGACGGCCGATATTGAACCCCCTGATCATGGACCATTCGTTAGGCATTTGGAGGCTTTATTGATTTCAAAATTCGGTGATCTTGGGCTCGTTGAATTCGTCTCGTAGAGCCGTTCGGTTCGAGTATAAGCTTGTTATGTTTGGAAATCATTTGATAATCCAAATTTTGGTTTGAATCTTCCAACAGCGCTTCGGTTCCTTGATTTGGACCCATCTGGGCTCGGATTGAGTCGAATTTGGTGTCGTTGGGTTCGTATTTCCGAGACGCTCAGTTTGACTATAAGTTTGCTGAAATCGGAGTTCGAATGGTCTCCGAATTAATTTTTGAAGTTTCCAATTTGAATTTGCATCGAGATTCACGCCAGATTAAGATAATTCTTTGACGACGTATCAAAGCTCATTCTATAAAAAGAAGGTGTACATATTAAAAACAAAATCAGCCATCAATAAAAAATGAGGCTAGCCAAAAAATAAAGGAATGCATGTACAACATAAAACAGAGGAACATAAAAAATAAAAACAGACATAAAGGAGATCGACATATGTTGAAGTTAAGATCTCCTTTGGTTGCCCGAAGACCATCCAAAATGAGATCGACAGGCATCATCATCGTCCATGACCCAAAAATAGCATAACAATCCAAACCCTAAATTGTAAATCGAAGGCAGGATAATGGCAGCGTTGAGGCATCACAAGAAGCAAGCGATCAATAAAGACATTAATGAATACAGCTGTTGAAGATAGAGTAACCAAATAATCGAAATCACCAGCTAGCGAAAAAGGAGGTTTTGCACCTTCAGTGGAATAGCACATATAATCAGAGCATCACAAAAATTCCTCCCACACAACAAAGCTCCCTAATCAGTAAGAACAACCATATAATAGTTCAAACACGGAGTAGTAAAAACCTGAAAAATTGTTACTAAACCAACCAGAACCAGAGTAAACCAATAGAAAATAGCTCAACTGTAACTCAATTTCAGCCTCTCTTTTATGAAGAATCCACATTTCCATCTATCAAGTTTAAGGTATACTACTCTAGACTTTATATATATATATATATATATATATAAAGTGATAGCACAAACAACCTTAGCATTAAATCTCCAATTATTGTGTTCAGTTCAGAGAAAATAAATCATAGCATAAAGAGTGAGGAGAATCTCATCTTTCAGGGAAGTGATTATGAAAATGGGGAATCAGTTTAGTCAAAACCTGAAAGAAATAGTCATATTCAAACATCAGGTGAGAGGCAGATTCAGGGCAGCCGTGACAGAGAGTGCACTTGAGATCCGAAATATGAACATTCCTTTTAGAAAGAGCTTCAGCCATTTTAAGCCCTCGTCTCAATGACAATTAGGTATAATTGTATAAATATAAAATATCATAGAATGCTTTTTATGCCAAACCAATGGATGACAATCATAGGTGGTGTTATTCGCAAAAATTTACAAGAAGTAGCCTTTAAAAGAAGAGTTCGCAGCATTATCCCAGTTTGGAGAAGTTAAGTGATATAGAGATTGCCTGAATATAGTCTTTGATGTGTTGGCTGATGACATCAGGTAATGACCAAGTGTTCTCATGCATCCAGTTGGCAATGGTGGCTTTCTGATTGCAATGCGAGCTGGGTAGTAATTCAGGAAATATGGAAATAATTTTATCATTTAGACACCAATAGTTCGATAAAATAGATACAGGACTGTTATGAGCAATATGAAACTTAAATTTGTTGCTAAATAAGGTAGTCATATTGCAGATGCTTTTCCAAAATGCAAAGCTGTTGTGTTGGCAAGTTTTACAAGGGGAAATATATCTAACTTTTAACCAAAAGGATAGGGGACATGTAGCATTATTATAAAGTCTAAGAATTATCCACAATTAAAGGCTGCTCTTAAAGCATGAAAAAAGGCAATACCCAAGCCATCGTTAGAGTATGGTTTGCAAGTATTTCTCCACGAAATAAGGTGTAGGTTTCTAGATTGAATGTCACCATATAAGGGAAATTTCAAGCAAAGTTTGTCAATAGCCTTAAAAGTTATTTTAGGTACTGTAGATCCCTTAAGCCAATAAGCCACCAGATTTGTAATAGTAAATTTGATATATTGCATCCTACCTGTAAAAGAAAAAAGACTAGCTTTCCAACCAAAAACAGGTCAGTAACTTTTTCAATCAAAGGGGAGAAATTAGAAACTTTGATTCTACCCAAGGAGATAGGAAGGCCCATATAAGATATTTTGGTGGCAATATTATGGATATGTAGTGCTTGAGAGATTCTAGAAGCATTGAGTGCATGAGGGGATACTACAAGAGAACTCTTATGCAAGTTAAGGTGCAAGTCTGAATAGTTGTAAAAGTGCTCAAAAACTTCACAAGGTGATCATAGTTTTGGATGGTCGCTTTACCAAAAACCAGTAAATCAACGACATAAGAAAGGTGAGATAAGCAGAATCCATCAAAATTAAAACCGTCAAAGCTCTCAGGTTTAGAAGTGTCATCGATAAAATAGGAAAAAATGTCCATGATGATGCAAAAAAGATAGGGATTGAGAGGGTAACCTTGCCTGAGACCAGATGTAGAGCTAAAATAGCCTTGAAGATCCCCATCTATACAAATTGAGAAGTGAGTGTCATTGATACAAGCTTTAATCCAT